ATTAGAAATGCTTGTACTTAGGTTTAGTGTCATAAAATGACTATAATATGGTATTATATTTATGTTCTAATAACTTGTGCATTATTATAGTGATAACAGTAGTTGTTTGAGATTATAATAATAAAATATATTACTGATATTTGTCTTGTATTCTTTTCTTACCTTTTATCACCTACTTTAAGGAAAAACAACCACCCGATGATCAAACATGTCTTCTATCCTCTTTGCTTTTCTGCGCATGCGTGATAAACTCTTTTACTACGTATTACTTATAGTCCTACAGGAGATCTAATGGTCATTAATATTTATTATCGATAAAAGTCTACCGCAATTCAGCGGGGGATCGCCTCTGGACAGGATCGTACTTTTATTTTCGATTTATTTTGATTTTCGAAAATACATGGACAAGTCAGTTTCACTATCGCTGTCGTTATCTAGATCTCTAATAATTGTTTCTTTGAGCAACATATCTGTACTAGTATGGAGAAATTCTTAATTCTGGATGACCCATTTCTTCCCCTGAACTGTCACAATAACATTGTTTTCTGATGGAAAATGATTTGAAAGTTTCAAGTAATTGTTTTTTAGAATAAGTATCTTCATAATATATGTCAATTTTCCAGCATATATTCCTCGATTCTAAGTTTGGTGTCATTAGAAAATCGAACTTTATTTAGCCTACGACTGTGGTAGCTGGCATTGCCCATCACAATAACACTGTTTGGTGGTATATTTGGCAATAGCTTCGTTGAAAACCAGTTTTTAAATAATTCTGACGTAGTGTCATCATGATAGTCGACACAGGAGTCCTTAATGTTTTTGCATGACAAGGTTAAAGCATTAGGTATAAAACCATTTTTTGTTTCTGCATGGATTATTGTAATACGTTTTCCTTAATTTGATGGAGGTTTTGTTGTACAGCGACCAGAAGAATCTGTCCAACCATATTTTGGAAAGTTATGGGTGTCAAACTACGTCTCATCCAGATAAACAATTTCTCTTCCACTTTATCTGTTTCTATGAATTTGAATTTCGTCCTCCATATTTATAGACAAGCAGATTCCATAATCATTTGGCGTTTATCGATCGTTTTTATTTTAAAGCCGTTTTTTGGAAGAGATTCCCTTACAGTCTCACTGCAGTACTTGATGCCTGTTTCATCTTTCTGCAACTTGTACATGATGATTTTTAATGTAAGGACCATCTATTCTTCATACATGTTATTAATCTTTCTTCTAATGATCTCCACATCGTTCCGGTCTAGATTCCTAAACATACCAGCGTCTTTTCTTTTTCTTATACTTACTATCGGTTGTTTTGTTATGTACCACACTGTGTTCATTGGTCTTTGTGTCTAAGGCTTCCGCTTATTTCACTGCATTAAATTTGTAAAGTCCTCATTCAAGGAGGGTTGTGTTAACATCATATATCACTTTTTTTGTGTCAACTGGCAAAACACTGTACTTTACGGGTTTGTTAACACTGACGTCTATTCTTTCGGCATTATTATTATCAATTACTTTACAAGAAGTACTAGGCTCTTCCCACGGACGGCACATTTTTAAATATTGTTTTATACACAACTTGTCTTCCTTATGAAACGGGTCATACAGTATTGAGACTTCCTCCTTACTATTACATGTTCAATCCTATTGAACACATATGGCATGAGCTAAAAGCATCGGTAAGGAGAAGTAATGTTTCGCTTACCCTAAATTCATCTGTGATTCGTCTAATTGAATTAGAAATGGAGAAAATAACCAATGACAGCTGGAAACATAGTGTTGCCCATATTCTAAAGATGAAAAAATGTTATATAGAGATAGGTTACTCAAAGAATCAATTATTATGATCTAGATAACGACAGTGATAGTGAAACTGACTTGTCCATGTATTTTTTTTAATGTAAGTACTTTTTGAATTGTATTTATAAATGGTAAACTTTCTGTGTACCTATACGTAATTTATGTAAATATTTTTAAATTCAGTCGATAACGGTATAAAACCAGTTTTTAGACACACCTATCAACGTTAAAAAAAATATTTTTCTAAAATATTTTTGATTCCTGATTCATATCCATGCATCTCTGGGCCATTCAATCCGAACGAAGCATCTCTTGTGCCTATAAGATTTCTAAAGCCAAATTGTGTCTCACTAATTTCATATTCAAGAGTTTTAACCTGCTGTGTATTATTTTCAAAAGTGTGTGACTGATTAAAGCTATTGTTCTATGATCAGAGCAGGATATTGCATTTGACGTTTTGGGTATTGCCATAAAGGCAGTCGATTTCAGCCATTGTCTGGGGATTTTAGCAGTCTAATATATTGAATTAAAGAGTTTAACCATCACATCAATAATATCTTCATCAATGAGTTTTAATAGTTCGATGGGCACATCATCTGATCCGGTATTTTGTCCTTTTTTGTGTTTTTGATGGCATAGATGACTTCTTCCCGTAATATTGGTGGTCCGTATCCTCTGTGGTTTCTAATGATAGTTTTTTGTAAATTAAAGCTATCATACTTTTTATCCAGATCTTCTGTTTCCTTACACCTATCAGAAAGCCACCTGTCTTTTGCTTCTCGAATTTTCTTTGTATTTATTCAGGTCTTTGCTTTGACTTGGACATCCAAGCTTTTTTTTCAAAATGGTTTCTTTTACAACTGACACAAGTGCATGTTAGATTTTTTCCCATTTTTGGTCAATAGTTAAGAGTTTTTTCAATATCTTCTTTGACTTTCCTTAAGTGTTCGTGTATTTTAAATTTCGTTTCCACATATGTGTTGTCTTATTTGATCCGCCTTGTATCCATGATTTTCTAACAGCTAGGGTGCTTTACATTCTTTAGTTTCACTCTTATCGACAAAACAACCGCTCCTGGATAAGTTTTGGATGATATAATAGAATTTCTATATCTTCTGTTGAAGATAATATAATTTATTTGATTTCTGACTACTTGTTGTTATTGTCAGCTGGTAACCTTCATGACGATAATCTACGTTTAGGAAGTTTAAACAAAGTATTTGCAATTATGACACAAAAATCAACCAACAGATCTCCACGTTCATTCCTCTCTCTGAGTCCATATCGCCCCACACAATTCTCCACTTCTCCTTGGCCCACTTTAGCGTTTAAATCTTCTAATATAATATTTATATCATGTCTTTTAGTCAGCTTTAAGACATTGCCAATTTGTTCACAGAAGTAATTGGTGCATATACTTGGATTATATTTATTTTACTTCTTAAACGAGAGTTAAGAGACAGCATCAATACTTGATCAGGGTAGGGAACAAAGTTAAAAACAGTTTTTTGAGAATTCTTATCAACTATAATACCAACTCTCTGCCTGTGATTGAAGTTGTTGTTACTGGAATAATACATTGTTCCATTTTACCGATTAAAGCCATCGTATATCGCTAAGCCCCAGTATGTTAATCTTCATTCTGCTCATTTCCGACACAGTGTTACCTAGTTTGCCAGACTGGTATCAACTTCTTACGTTCCAAACTCTTCTTAAAGATAATTCACACGAGAATATACAACAGATGTAAAAGAGACATTAGCCCCACACAGTTCGGTTTCAGACAAGGATTTGGCACAAGAGAAGCACTTTATAGCGTAACTGCCCTACTTCAGAAATGCAGAGATCACCAAAAAGATGTCTTCCTATGCTTTATAGATTACCAGAAAGCGTTCGATTTGTGTTAATCATTCATTACGATTGCTTAAGAAACGTTCGATAGATGAGAATGACCTTAAAATCATAAAAAACTTTTATATTAATCAAGTGGCATCTGTGAGAGTAGGACTGGAATCTACATCATATTTCTCAATCGAAAAAGGTGTACGACAGAGTTGTGTTGTGTCACCCCTCCTTTTTAATCTTTACTCTGAAACGATTTTCGATAGAGCCTTAAGTGGCACTGAAGATGGAATCAAAATCAACGGATAGACTATTAGTAATCTTCGCTATGCTGATGATACAGTCATAATAGCTGATAGCCAAGAAGCGCTACAACGACTAATAGATCAAATAAACACTTAAGGAGAACGACTGGGCTTAAAGATTAATATAGACAAGGCAAAGGTAATGGTGGTTAGTAGAACACGAAATATGCAATTAAATATAAGAGTAAACAACAAGAACATCCAGAAGGTCCCTAAGTTCAGATATCTCCCCAAGATCTAGATCCAGACAGAGATATGTAGCAGGATTGAGCAAGCCAAAACAGTATTTACTAATATGAGAACCTTGCTAAGCAACAGCAGACTCAACTTAACGCTTCGATATCGCTTTGTAAAATGTTACATTTACTCCATACTGCTATATAGTGTAGAAACCTGGACCGTAAAGGCCAATGTGATGAACCGATTAGAGGCCTTTGAAATGTGGGTATTTAGAAGACTACTTAAAATTCCCTGGACAGATCACACAACAAATGTTGAAGTATTAAATGGAATGGGCGGAGAAAGAGAATTGCTGCCAATAATAAAAAGAAGAAAAACTGCTTATCTGGGTCATGTATTTCTAAATTCCAAGTACCAGTTCTTAAAGCTTATTATGGAAGGGAAGATAGAAGGAAAACAAAACATCGGGAGGAAGAAATACTCATGGCTTAAAAACATAAGGGATTGGACAAATCTCGATGCCCATGCACTTTTTAGAGCCACAAAAGATCGAGAGGAGTATGCCAAATATCGCCTAATTGGATAGGGCACCATAAGAAGAAGAAGCACACATATAAAATAAAAGAAACATCAAATTGGGAAGCAATGTATCAGCTAACAAAAATACATTCCAAGATAGTTAATTTTTTTTTTCTTAGAAGACTTGAGCGTCGAATAAATTTCGAAAAATTCTACATTAGAGGTCTATGGCAACCAAAAACATCGGTAAGTGGTCTATAAGGAAAAAGGTTTGAGAAACACTGGTGGTTATGCTTTCTGATTACTCATAGAGTAGAGATTTGATCCAGAAAGATTAAAACAAATAGTACACTTTTACATTTAACTTTATTTTAACTAACTAAAAAAATACAGTCTTATTTTTACAAAATACAACAATTAGTTACCACCATCAGGTTTTTCGACAAGTTTTTTATGTTTTACTTTATAATGGAACTCTAGAACCTTACTACTAATGAATGTTCTTGGGCAATGCTCGCAATTGAAGCTACCAGCGTGATTAAACCAGTGTATTTTCATATTAAACGCAGAAGTAAATGCTTTGTTGCAGTATTCACACTTATAGGGGTGATGTCCGGTATGTGTGTATTCATGCTTCTTCAGCTCTCCTTTGGAAAAAAATGCTTTCCCACAAGATTGACAGTTGAAAGGCCGATGGCCGGTATGAGTTAATATGTGGCGTTTCTTGGCTGTCAAAGTATAGAAATCTCTGTCACAAAAATGGCATTTGTACTTGCGTTCTTTGGTGTGTTGTTTCATGTGGTAGTACAACCCTCCTTTGTAATGAAAAGATTTTCCGCACACTGGGCAAATGCACATCGTTGAATTTTTGTTGTGGGTTTGCTCGTGTCCACTTAGCGTCGCTGCAGTTTTACACTCTTTTCCACAAATCTGACAAACATAGCTCGACTGACTATGTCTTGTAGACCTATGATAGTTTCTAGCATTTCTGCTTTTGAACTTTTGATTGCAAATATCACACTTGAAAAACGGCATCAAATGTGTTTTAACGTGGTAGTTAAGAAATTTTCTTTCTTTGAAAATTCTTGGACAAAATTTACATTGCAATAAAGACACTAACGACGTTTTTCCTTTGTCGTCTTTACCTAATCTGTATCCTTTGCCACAAATATCGACATGTTTTTGATATCTAGTTTTCGAACCATACATTCTTTTGCAAATACTACACTCATACTGTAACTTTGCAGCTGACTGTATTAAATCATCCTCATCTTCCATATCTGCCGATGCCTTTATTGTATCTTCTGCCATTGTGCCGCTACTGCATAAAATAATATAAGAATCAACGTCACATTCTTTATCCTGCTCATTTTCGGGTGATAAAACATCTGGTTCGGATACTTCCTTCGGACGTTCTAGAATCTCCAACACTGGAGGACCGACTGTTGGACGTTCATATTTAGGACCAAAACTCGCCGATATCACTGTTCCGAGATTTCGTAAAAACCCGTTAAAATTAAGCTGATCACATTTTTGTTCTTCTACAATTACCAAGTCGTTTAAATTATACCTTGTTGAACCAGCGATTATTTCCACACATACTGGTAAATTACTCTTGTTTGTTTCCTTGCCTCCTGTAAGTTCAACAAGTACTTGATGAGATTCTTCAAATAGTGTTTTAAAGTCGTATGCCACTTTTAGTATACCTAGACACATTGAGCATATGTATTGTGGATAGTTTTCAGGTACAGGTTCCTAAAAAAAATTATAAGTGTTTTAAATTTTAGCAAGACCACATGTAAAATAAACAAAATATTGTGAGAGACATATATCAAAAAGTAGGGGAAACCGGAAAATTTCGCGCACGGAGGAATTCTGTGCATCAGTATCTTGGCAACACGGCATAAGCATTTTAACAATCAACACAGCACACAGTCTCGTATTTGCTAACCGATCACATGTTTTGTAATATGACTAAATCCGTAATGTTGGTTTAGCTAGGGTCGCCGATTGTTTTTTATTTATCTTTTATCGAATATCTTTTGTTATTAATTTTCATTAAAACTATTTCATAATTATTTTGCATTATATGTACAGATAATTTCACGAACAAAAACAATGCATTGTATTTAGTCATTGACGAACACTGATAAGATAAGTTAGGTTACTCACCTAGCGGAATAACGCGCAGCTGCCTCGGGGTAATTTCGCGCTGCGTGGTATTAACCCGTGTGAGAATTTTTGCTGATATAGTGTTTGTATCGCTTTTTAGATTCCAAAAAGCCCCGTGCTTATGTTCGAAAAACCGAAAGATCAAAATGGACAGGAGATGAACTAAAAGCTGTTATCACTGCTATACGATCTGAGCGAAAAACACGATCATTACAATGATGTTCAATCTACGTGACAAACTAAAGTCCAAGAACCACAAAAAAATTAAACTTGACAGGAAACTAATTTTTAATGATAGACAGTGTTCCACTATAGCCAATCATGTTAAAAAATTGGCGAGTATGTTTGTTGGAATCACACAAGCAGACCTAAGGTGTTTAGCATACCAAAACCGCATTTCTACATTCAATAAAGATGAGGTTGAACGATCTTTTAATAAACTCCTCACAGTTATGGAAGAGTTCAAATTGCCTGAAAGTCGAATTTTTAATATAGATGAAACGGGTATTTCTACGGTCTAGAAACCATAAAAAATTTTAGCACCAAAATGTCAAAAACAAGTGGGATCCGTAATATCTTCGGAAAGAAGGGAAAATGTTACCATAGTATGCGCTGTAAATGCTTCAGGACAGTTTGTTCCTCCTATGTTCATATTCCCTCAAATACGTATGAATCCACAATTAACGGGAGGAGGTTCAGTTTGAGTAATATACAGATGCTCAAAAAAACGGTTGAAGGTTATTTTTCGAATTGATAAAACAATTTTGTCAGCATATAAAGGCCTCGAAAGAAGATCCAGTGTTTCTAATATTGGATAACTATGGGAGTCACAATTCTTTGCAGATTTATACTTACTTACTGCAGATCACTGTAGTGCAGAAAACTGTTTTTAAGTTAGAGCACCATTTATGATGAGAAATGCTTTGAAACTTCGCTGCTACGTGTTCTCGGTCTTACTCTATGGTGTCGAGTCCTGGACTGTAAATAAAATCGATCTAAATCGCCTTGAGGCTTTCGAAATGTGGTGCTATAGAGGAATTTTAAAAGTTTCCTGGGTGGAGAAAATTCGAAACTCCACAATACTAGAACGTCTCAGCAAGACTGCTGAGATCATAAAAAGCCTCAAGAGAAAGGTGGAGTATTTCGGACATGTAATGAGAGGTCCCAAATATAGGTTGCTATAAAATATCATGCAAGGAAAAATTGCAAACAAACGCAGTCCGGGACGAAGAAGAACCTCATGGTTGAAGAACTTGCGAGATTGGTATGGTGTTGATACAAGCATGCTATTTAGGATGGCAGTGAATAAAATTAAGATAGCTATGATGGTAACCAACGTTTTGAAAGGACATGGTACATGAAGAAGAAGAATATAATTTCAACAAGGACGTTTTTAGATTAAGTTAAAGTAGACATTGCAAAAATGTGCTCTACAAAAAAATGTTTTTATTGCAAAAAAAGTTGTAGATGCTGTGATTTGTAACATCTGCATGAGAAATTACTATCACGATAGTTGTGCTAGGAAATCTGGCGCAATGAAAGGAAATACAGTAATATGTGATCAAAAAGTGAGGTTAGGTCAGCAGAAATTGAAATTTCCCTATTGAAACCTAATGAAATCATCGAGTTTACAGCTAGAGAAAAGAATCTGCAAATTAGAAATTAAAGAATATTCCTGTAATCTGGAGATTGCAGGAATGAGCAACTAACTTTTTTAAACACAAGCTTATTCAACATGGCTTATAAATTAAGAAAGGAAAAACAGTTTAGATATTGTTGGGCAAAAAATGGTAGTCTATTTGAAAAATCTGAGGATTCGGAGCCAATGTATGTTCATAATAAAGAAACTAATATAGGTCAGTGACAATTATTGTAAAGTTTTTAAACGGAAATGGATAATGAATGTAAACTACAAATTCCATTTAGGTGAGATAAAGTTCAATGTAGTAATAGTATTGTGTTTAGTATACCTACTATACTTAAATGCTCAATCAATAAAAAAATAAAATTTTAGAACTGAAAGGATTGGTAGTTAAGTTGAGGATGCCAGATGCAATTGTAGTGGCTTAACATTGGTTGAGAGCTGGTGAAGAATCATACTTTAGTGTGGATGGATATAGTGCAGTGTATGCGCGTAGAGACAAGGAAACTGTTTTCATTATTCTGAAGTCTATAGATATAACACAAAATCTTGAATAAATTTCTTACACATTGATAGGCATTTGATAGTGGGGGGACTGTATAGACCACATGATTTCCATCACAATGATCTTTTGGGGGTAACTAATATGTCCTTAAATATATTTATGAACCAAACAACAATAATCTGGATATTTGCCGACTTTAATATATAGACCTGATCTAAGACGGTTTACCACAAAAATCTTCACTCTATAGACTCTTCATATTAGTCTAAAGAGAAATGTACAGTAACAAAAATAAAGAGAGCAGTTTAGAAATCAAATAAACACTCTGGAAAATCAAATGTGAAGCGAACCCAATTTCGTGTGACAAACTCATAAGAATTTACTTAAATAACCTTAATACAAAAATAATAAAAAAAGCCTGGAATGGCTTTAGTTGGAGTGTTTGAGTGGTAGACTACAAAAAGTGGTATGTAACAATGTGCAATGTAACAAAGTGCAGCAGAAGATATTTCATGTGGAGATCCTCAAGGGTCTCTATTGGGACCAACACTTTTCCTCATTTATGTGAATTCAATATCCAATTTACTGCGTCAATTGTATCTGTATGCTGATGACACTGGTCTTCTGTGTGGCTCAAGTATCACAAACTCTCACAGTTATAGCATAATTTCAAATATAGATGCACATAGCGAGATGCAGATGAACTTTGGAAAATTCAAATTTAATAAAAATGAGATGATCAAGTATCTTTAATGGTACATAGATAAACGTCTTACTTGGGAACAACACATATTAGAGGTATGTCATAAAATAGCTCCAAAAGTGAGCATGCTAGAGAGAATTGCTAAATTTATAAGTCTCTCTCATCGTAAATGGTGTATTATTCTTAATAAACTCACATCTGTCTTATTTAACCATCATATGGGGTAATATCAATCACAAACAGCTTCATCCTCTTACAATATTACAGACTATTAAATATGGTTTTTCAACTGTTACTCCTTCATCCAACATAAAATGTGTACTGCCCAAGACGAATAATCAAGATTGAATGCAAGTTTGTGTATTAATTAATAAATGTAAGCTTTCTCAAGTACTTACAAATATTGCCCCAACACTGACTGAAGATGTACATGACTACCATACTAGAGAAAGGGGTACTTTTCATACAGAAATAATGCGAACTTCTTTTGCACAAAGGAGCATGCCCAATAATATGAAAGAAAGACAACTAGGAAAATTTAAATGTGAAAAAACCTTTCTGTATTAACATAGATTACTTAATAAAATTTTGTAACTAATAATATTTTATTTAAACTTTGTAAAACCATTATTAATGTAGAACTCATAAAACCAACGCCTGCTGCTCTTGGTTTATTAATGTTTACATAAATTAAATCTTTATATTGTGAAATTAATAAGCTGGAAAGTAAAATTAAGTGTTTATTACAGTGCCAATGGTTGATGCATCACAATTCATGCATTTACTTTATCAGAATGAAACAATGCTTTTACAATCAAACTCTAAATTAAAATCAGGTATGGAAGCAAGAAAATTTTAATACCGATTACATGAAGACCCATAAACTGAGAAAACATATTATTGTGCAAAGAACAATTAACATTTAGTGCAATGAAATGATACAGCAATTGCATAAAATATCTGGACAGCAAAAAAAATAGAACTAAAAAAGGTTCACTCATTATACAAAATAAAATAAAACAAATAGTATTGCAAATTCTTCTTTAAAATGTGCCAGAAGTTGGTAACAATATTGAAAAGAATAGTAAATAAAAATAAGGTAAGAACTTTATTAGGTTATGCAAACATATATGGTAATGATGGCAGCCCATCACTCACAATGAATCAATGAACTTAATTTTTATATCTTAAAAGAGAAAAGAGACAATCAAAATCATTTAAAAATATTCATAATTATTAAAAGCCATACCTTATGGCACATTTTTATTATATCATAGAACAAATTTACCTAACTTTAAGTAGACTACATCAGTATAGTTTATTTAAATAATTAAAACAAAGATACAGGTTCCAGATATTATCAACTACAATGGTTTCTAATACACTTTTGACAAATGGAGACAGAAAAAGATGTTTTACAAAAGAAAGAAAAATTCACAAAAACAAGTGTCCCAAAACTGTTTTGATCCAGAAAACTCATTTTTATTTTTATGTAGAAACCTTTTTCAAAATAAGGGTTTGTAAAAGAGGCACTTAATGAATGTGGTACTATGTGTACTGTTTTTAAAGAAAAAGAATGACTAAAGCATATAAGTAAGTTAGATATCAATCAAGGATATCATATCAAGGATATTCATGTCATTAAAAATTTGTATTAGAATCAAACTGCTATTGTAAAAATTGTAGATAACTATATACTGATGAAATCTATATAACGAGGAGTCAGACAAGGTTGCATTTTGTTGCCAACATTGTTCAATGTTTACTCCGACCAGTAATTTAAAAAGGCACTTGAGAGCCAACCAGATTGAATAAAAATCAATGGGAACTGTCCTGTGGTCTGTGAACTGTGTTTGTCATTTGTCATCTTAGTTTTAGTTAATGTCATATGTAATTGTCATGTTATTCATTCAAACAAAACAATGCTAATTTCTTGTATATTAAAACCTAGTTTATAAAGGTTTTGCATTTCATTACAATTTAATATACAAGAAATATCAAATATGGATAAGCTACTACGACCAGACAGATTCGATGCTGATCCTAACTCTCCTAGATCGTCTCAAGAATGGATGCATTGGAAAGCTACCTTTGAAAACTTTATTTCCTCTGTGATTGATGTTTCAGAGGAGGAGAAATTCAAACTACTGGTAAATTACGTGAGCAACAATATCTATGAACTCATCTCTGATTGTAGAAAGTATTCTGAAGCCAAAAGTATTCTTGAAGCAGCTTTTGTTAAACCCAAAAATGAAATTTTTGCCAGACATATCCTAATGACAAAAAAACAACAAACTGGTGAAAATATAGGTCAATACGTTCAACATCTTAAAGTGCTTTCCAAAGACTGTAATTTTCTAGCCGTTTCTGCAGACCAAAATAGAGAAGATTATATAAGAGACTCTTTTATTAATGGCATTCTTTCTAATGACATAAGACAACGTTTACTAGAAAACAACACTATTACTCTGCAAGATGCCATAGTAAAAGCCCAGTCTCTGGAGTCAGCTTCAAAACACTCTGAGGCTTATACAACTCCTGTACAAATTATTAATGCAATTTCTTCTGAAACCAGAGAGCACACTAATTATACTTCTGCTGCTGTGAAAAGTTGGAAATGTTACTTTTGTGGATCAACTGAAAGGCATCCTCGTAGCCTATGCCCTGCTAGAGACAAAGTTTGTAAGAAATGCTCGAAAGTTGGACATTTTTCCAAGGTATGTAGGCTTCAGATGCCCAATTCAGTATCAGCTGCTGTTTTAGCTACTACTACATCTAGTTCGAATGTTAGAAATCTTGCTGCTGCCCCTCAATGCTTATCTAAAAGTGTTACTGAGATAAAGGTGAATGGAAATACAGCTGAAAGTTTAATAGACACAGGTAGTTCTGAGTCATATATCAGTAAGAATTATGCATTGTCTATAAACGTGAAAACATTTAGAAGTCATGCAAGCATAATAATGGCTTCAACAGCACTCAGAACGACTATCTCAGGACACTGCTTTGTTTAATTTAGAAATAAACGAACATTCATATAAAAATGTCAAATTATCAATAATTCAAGATTTATGTGCTGATGTAGTTATAGGTCATGACTTGCTTAAACAACATTCTTCTCTAGAAATCACTTTTGCTGGCTCAAAAATGCCTTTAGTTATTGATCATATAGATAACATTTGTAGTTTGGCATACTTAAATATAGAGCCACCCAAATTATTCTCCAATCTATCAAATGATTGCAAACCGAGGGCAACTAAATCAAGAAAATTTTCAACTGAAGATAGAAAATTCATATCTGACGAGATACAGTATCTGCTATCGAATGGAATCATAGAAGAAAGCAACTCTCCTTGGCGTGCACAAGTACTTATTACAAAAAGTGAAACACACAAAAAGCGAATGGTGGTAGATTATTCACAAACAATTAATAAATTTACTTACTTAGATGCCTATCCTCTCCCAGATGTTGAAGATATTGTTAGAAAAGTAGCAAGATATTCTGTCTTCAGTACTATTGATCTTAAAAATGCATACCATCAAAATTCCAATTAAAAATGAAGAGAAAATATACACTGCTTTTGAAGCCAACGGCCAACTATACCAATTTTGCCGGATTCCTTTTGGGGTAACCAACGGAGTGGCTTGTTTTCAAAGGGTTATCGATGGTATTATTAAATCCGAACATTTAAAAGGTGTGTATGCATATCTTGATGACATTACGGTTTGTGGATTAAATCAACAACAACATAATGAAAATCTTAATAAATTTATGGAAGTAGCGAAGAAATACAATCTAACAATAAATCAAAATAAAAGTTCTTATACACTAAATTCAATCAAACTTTTGGGTTATCAAATAGAAAATCAGACCTTAAAACCTGATCCTGAAAGACTTGAACCATTAAAGAAGTTACCCTTACCAAACGATTCACAATCACTAAAGAGAGCTGTCGGAATGTTTGCACATTATTCCAAATTTTATCCCACAATTTTCAGAAAAGATACAAAAACTAGTCACATGCAATACTTTTCCTTTAACAGAACAAGCAGCTGAAGCTTTCCAAATTCTTAAATCTGAAATTATTTCTTCAGCTGTTACTACAATTGATGACAAGATTCCTTTTATCGTTGAATCTGATGCTTCAGATTTTTGTATTGCTGCTTCTCTTAGCCAAGGAGGAAGACCTGTTGCTTTCTTTTCAAGAACCTTATCAAAAAGTGAAAGAAATCATTCATCAGTGGAAAAAGAGGCTTATGCAATAGTGGAAGCTCTTAGAAAATGGAGACATTTCTTGATAGGTAAACATTTTCGACTTATAACTGATCAAAAGTCTGTCTCTTTTATGTTCAATATGCGCCACACTAGTAAGATAAAAAATGAGAAGATTATCAGATGGCGCCTTGAATTATCATGCTACAGTTTCGATATTCAGTACCGACCAGGAGTTGAGAATGTAGTGCCAGATACTTTCTCACGAGTGAGCTGTTCAATAAATCCTCGACCAAGTCTATTTGAACTACATCAATCCTTGTGTCATCCAGGAATCACCAGAATGGTCCATTGGATAAAGACACGCAACTTACCATATACTATGATGAAGTCCGTGAAATGACCAATCGCTGTCCTATCTGTGCAGAAATAAAACCAAAGTTTTTGAAAACTCAGGGAGATTAATTAAAGCTACCTCGCCTTTTGAAAGATTGTCTCTGGATTTTAAAGGACCGCTTCCATCTAGATCTCATAACAAATATATCCTAACAATTGTTGATGAATATTCTCGATTCCCCTTTGTATATCCATGTCAAGATGTTTCAGCGAAAACTGTTGTGAAGTGTCTTACAAACTTATTCTCTTTATTTGGAATGCCTAGTTATATCCATTCAGACCAAGGGGGGGCATTTATGTCTCAAGAAGTCAAAACATTTCTCCATTCACAAGGAATACCAACAAGCCGAACAACATCTTACAATCCTGAAGGAAATGGCCAGACAGAAAGATATAATGGAATTATATGGAAAACTATTTCTCTTGCATTAAAATCTAAACATTTAAAAACTGAACAGTGGGAAGAAGTAGTTGAGATAGCTCTTCATTCAATTCGTTCTCTTTGTGTACATCTACAAACAGTACCCCTCATGAGCGAATGTTTCATCATTCCAGAAAAGCTATAAATGGAGCTGCACTTCCTTCATGGTTGATAACCCCCGGAAAAGTATTTATGAAAAAAAAATGTGAGGCAGTCCAAATATGAACCCCTCGTTGAAGAAGTACAGCTAATTGAAGCAAATCCAAACTATGCTGTTGTTAGACGTGAAGATGGTAAAGAAACAACAGTAGCCTTAAGACAACTTGCACCACGAGGAGATGCATCTCTGGACTGTGTTAGTGGATCGGAATCTGCGGTTTCTAATGAACAGTTTATCAAAGATCCACCAAGCCCTAGATTGAGTATATGTGAGGAAAATCCAAATATTTCTCCTGTTAACATTCTGGAAGATCAAGGTCATATTGAAAGTGTTTTAGAGGAAGAAAATAAACACAGTCTTATTAGAAGAGGTACCAGGGAAAGAAACACTCCTGCTTACCTTAAAGACTTTGTTCAAAAATAAAGTTGGGGTGAATGTCCTGTGGTCTGTGAACTGTGTTTGTCATTTGTCATCTTAGTTTTAGTTAATGTCATATGTAATTGTCATGTTATTCATTCAAACAAAACAATGCTAATTTCTTGTATATTAAAACCTAGTTTATAAAGGTTTTGCATTTCATTACAGGAACTACTTAATGTGATTAGATATACAGATGATACAGTAATTCTATGAGATAATATTGAAGGTCTTCAAATTCTGCTTGATCATATTCACGAGGTAGGAGAGGAAAAACGCATTAAAAAAAAAACAAATTTTTAGTGTTTAGTCGTGACCCACATCCCGATGCAAAGCTTCAATTAAACAGAGTCCAAGTTGAGAAAGTTCACAAAATAACATATTTGGGAACTGTGATAACGGACCAACTAGATCCAGATAAAGAAATAAAACGTAGAATAGCAATGACTAAAACTACTGTTATGAAAATGAAATCATTTCTTTGCAATAACCATCTCAGTTTAGAACTAGGCAAAGAATGGTTAAGTGCTATGTTTGGTCCATACTTTTGTATGGTGCAGAAGTGTGAACGCTGAAAGTATTGATCATGAACAAAATTGAAGCATTGGAAATGTGGGTTCATAGATGAATGCTAAAGATACCTTGGACAGCAAGGAAAACTAATGAAGAAGTACTAAGGAGCGTCAACAAAGATAGAGAACTGCTAAAGACTGTTAAACATAAAAAAATGTCATCTGGGACATATAGTAAGGGGAAGTCAATATAAAATATTACAACTGATCCTTAAAAGCAAAATAGAAGGCCGTAGAGGTGTAGGAAGAAAACACGTTTCTTGGTTAAAAAATATTCGTGAATGGACTCAGATACCAAATGCAGGATAATTATTTCATACTGAAGAAGATCAAGAAGCCTTCGCAATGGTGATCGCCAACGTCGGATAATTCTGATATGGCACGCGAATAAGAAGAAGAAACTCAGTATTTTCATTAATTGGATAAAAATCTAGATAGTGGACAAACTGTTTTAAAGATATTCAACTTTTCAGAAGTTTTTTATCTATGTGAACATTACCATAAAATTCAGCACTTTGTGAAGAATTTCCTGGACTGAAGTATCTGGATAAATCTGCTCATTAGTTTCGTTTTCTTCAGAGAGTGCTTCTTTAAAACTGCTGTCTAAAGAAATCATTTGACTTGTTTTAGCCACACATACTCTACATAGAGAAGAGATCCAATCCATTTTCAAATAATAATCTTCCAAACAATTTCATCAAGATTTTTCATTGGTGTATATACTTATTTATTCAAAGATGCGAGGAATTAAAATTTAGGATACTATTTTTTCCCTTATGAAATTTATAAACAAAAACAGGAATTATTTAGGGTTATGTTTATATGTTTATATGTCAAATTCAATGACATATATATTATACGTCATTGGTCAAATTAGTGAATATTTGCAATGGTTATATAGCAATTAGCTTTAAGCTTTAGCCATAGAGAAATATGGCTTTAGCCATTAGCGAATACTGTGGCTATGGGATGGGAAATAAACAATTTTTTTTCCTGTTGGTGTGGGTGGCTTTTGTGGCCTTTACCTTTTAAATTATACATATAGAGTATATTTCATGAAAGGATATCAGAGCTGATCGATGTAAAGAGGTCTCATACTCTATTAACGATTAAGGATATTCTTTATCTCTTGCATTTCCCCGGTATTGGTATTGTCCGTTGTTTGAGCCGTATCTGAAATCATTAATATGAGTTTCAGTTATTTGGATAAACTGTTTGTTCTCCTATGCAAGTTGAAATTTATATTCGTTTCTACACGGACATGAAAGATGAACAAAAGTGAGGAGAGGATAAATCCTGTCTTATGTCTTTGCTATTTACATTTGTTTTATATATAATAATAGAACCAAAGAATATAGACGCATATTTATGTGTCTATGTTCTTTGATAGAACGTTGGCGTTATATAGTTCTGCTTTTTGATTCCAATTCCAGCACAGTTGTTGTATCGCTCTTATGTTTTTAGCATTGTGTCCGTGTCTAATTTCATATACATACAATGCATGTACATATTATTATAAAAATGATAAAAATATCTTTTGCTTTAAAATGTATTGAGGACTAAGTGTTTATTATTTCGAAAACATGAAATCGCAAGCACTGTTATAATTTACAAATTTTGAATTGTCTTAAGAATTAATGCCTCTATGTCTATCCTAGAGAAATACCCCGTTAATTATTAATTTTCATTTTTATTACTAAAATTAAAATTTGTAATTCCAATTACACTTACAACTATGCAATCCTTTATACGAGACAAACCTATTAAAAGTTGCAAAATTCGATTTTCCTTCATATGTCATTTAGCCTTCAACTGAACATATGTTCACTATTTTTCGTATTCCTTCGTCGCTATTCTACTATAACTCTCCATGTATTAAACAGAGATAGAGATAACTTAAGTAACTAAAAGTAAAAGAGTTATGCTTAACTGATTGCTCTTTATGTATTTTTATTAACGAACGAACTTCAGTAAAATGGAGAACTGAGAAGGATTTTATTGTTTTGTATGGAAGTTGTGTTCATAATAATGTGTGTGCTCAAGAACATAATAATTGTGGTATAGACTGATTGTTCGGGCATCTGTGGTCATTTTATAGACAAAGAAAATTACAGACGTCCATAAGGTACAAACTAAATATTTGTGTTTTTCTGTTATTTCTCTATTTTTAAATTGTAGGACTGTATATAAGAATGTTTCGACACCTTCTAATTATGTCAGGACTATCCTCCAGTTGCACAAGGGATTGTTCGGGAAGAGGAGAATGTTACAATGGTACTTGCATGTGCGATATCAGGTTTACAGGAGATCTCTGCGATGGCCCCAATTTACCTTACCATACAGGTTTGTATTTGCATTTGCTAATGTTTTGCATATCTATTTAAATAACAATAGATATAGTCCTGATTGAGTTGAACAAATATGCTAAACAAACTATTTTTATCCTTTTGTTAGAGGAAGTTAGAATTGAGGTCAGGTTACTGATATTTTTATTTTTTTTTCCATTGTTAAACAATATGCTTTTCTGTCTTTTTTCTTACAGAATATGAAATAGAAAACTGCTTCATATTCTCTAGAATATAAGTAGAAAAATTAGTTTGTTATTGCAATTGTCTCTATATCACACAGACAGAAGCTGATAGAATGCTTAGTGATAAACCAACATCAATATTTATTCAGCAGATACACAGACAATATATCATAATTGTTTTGCTCCAACAAATTGACATTTAAAAATACAAGGACTAATCTTTTTGTGTCATTAACATGGATAATTTGTCTTAATTTACAATTGTTTTGAATTTTATTAGAACCATATGTAATGCCACTCAAATGTAAATATGATCATTGTTAATTGTTATTCAATCTTCAGTTCAGTACACTTGCACTGAACTGAAGGGAGGCCTCCCATGTTGCCAATTCTACTGTAATTCCTTGATGGTGATTAATTATTCCAAAAGTGTCATGCTGTAGTACAAAATAATATTTATTTATTATATGGTGTATAGTTTTTATCTAAGTGATTAGAAGTGAAGGTCTTTATGATAAATAAAAGTTTTTTCAGTACACATAGTGAAATAAAATTGTAACTTTGGAAGATGGCTATCAAAGTGGCAAATAGTTTTATTTACATTTTGACAGAAGTTCTCTATTAGGCCCTATGGCCATGTCTTGCCAGATAAAACGTGAATAAAGGAAGACACAAATTATTTTGTTTTTTTTTTCTCAAATCTTTTCTAATTTATTGATTTTATTTATCATGTCACACAATGAAATTTCCTCCTCACTATTTTTATATGTTGGTCTAAAGCAGTTGATTCCTTTGTAATGCCTATGGACCACATACACTACTATGATTTAATAGTAGTGCATTTTTTATATCAGTGGCAGCTAGTCCTAAAGGGCCACAGGCAGGGTTGGCAAAAACCAGGTGTTTTAAACTAGGTTTATTGATAGAAAGTATGATAAGGCTAAATACTTGACTAAATGAATGAAATATTTATAAAATAATACAGTGGAACCTGCTTAATTCAAACTTCTCTAATTCGAAATGTTCTTTAATTCGAATTTTTATTCTGGTCACTAGCATTTCCTATATAAGTAATGGTAAAAAGTTGTGAATAATTTGAGTTATATTTTGGATCATTTGAACTTCTCTACAAGTTAAAATGCCAATTTAATATTAGACATTTCCGCGAAAAGAGGTAGTATTTTTCCTATCATTACATGCTACTTGTTTCAAGACATTCAAGACCATTGTACATTGTACCCGTATCTGGCACCTAAATTCTCCCCCACCTGACACGCCCCTTCAGTAAACTTTGAACATACAAAACTTTGACATTATCGTAAAAATAGCGGCAATTAAAGAAGTAGAAAATGAGATGAACAAAAAATCTGAGACTGCCAAGGAATGTGGAATTCCTCCTAACACATGATAATTCACACCTACTTCTTCAAGTAGGTGGATATAAGTACCTATTTGAAGAATAAAGAAAAAAATCTCAATAGTGAAAGTGGATGCGGTAAAAAAGAAGAAGAAGAATGAAAAGGTTAAGGGAGCCAGAAAATCCAAATGTGATTTAAAATGGTTCGAACCAGCCAGGGAAAAGGAAATTCCCGTGAATGGTCCTATAAGAAGCAAATCTACACAATTTGTTGTTGAAATGGAGAAAAACAACTTTAAGGCGAGTACTGGATGGCTAGACGGCTTCAAAGAACGCAAAAAATTTCATTCAAATTTATTTGTGAATAAACTGGGGCCATTAATCAGCAAGAAGCCAACAAATGGAAAAAAATTGGAGGAGATGATTCAGGATATAGATGAAAGAGATATCTTTAATGTTGACAAGACAGGTCTTTTTTTAAATGCTCTCCTGTCAAAACACTGGCATTTAAAAATGAAAAATGGCACGGAGGAAAACTAAGCAAAGAAATAGTCACTCTCCTAATTGGTGCAAACATGGACGGATCAGAAGTGCTGCCTCTACTGATGATTTGTAAATCGCTAATCCACATTGTTTTAAGAATGTCAAGTCAAAACCAGTGGAATATGTGAGCAGCGCAAGAGCTTGGATGGCTAGGGATCTTTTCAAGAAAGGGCTGATGAAATTAGACAAAAAGTTTATAAAAGAAAAAAGAAAAGTTGGTTTGTTTATTGTCAACTGTACGGCCTACAACACTATCCCAGTAATGGAAAATGTAAAAGTTATTTTTTTCCTGCCAACATGACTTCAGTTCTCCAGCCTATGGACCAGGCATCATAAAAAATCTTAAACATTTTAACGGACGTTTTTTGTTAAAAACGTATTGCCGGAAGATTGCAACTTCTTTAAAATAAAGTTAGCATTCTTCAAGCCTCTCGAATATATAAGAAAGCTTGGGAGAAAGTAACAGCCAAAACGATCGAACAATGTTTTAAAAAAGCTGGTTTCGTAAAAAAGAAGTTAGAACGCACAAAACGGTAACGACACTTTAACAGAAGAGCTGCTTTCAGTTGAAGGCTGGGAGGACGTCATTTCTGATCCTGCCATCTCTTATGAAGATTTTGTCAACGTGGATGAAGATGTTGCAGTGCAACCAAAGCAACGAACCATATTACACAACTTGGACTATACTTTAGTAAAAATGACGTAAGTCACTCTATTTTTAGTTCACCTTAGAAGTCATGCCGTTCTTATTTTAATAAATTTATTTAGACAAAATGTTTTTTATTGTTTTAATGACGCGTTCTTGGGCAATTTTTATCGGTCAAGATTTAGCCGAAAATACCAATGAGAACACCTACCATAATGACAATAATTGACCATTTTTATAGCTTGTAAGTTTGGTAAGCTTGGCCGAATTTTGTTAGCCCATTTTTTTCGGTTGACAAAATTAGGGCATGAATAGGAACAAAAACATCTGCAAAAGTGTTGATTTTTATCGGTTGCAGATGCTTTTATAGGTATCACTGTTTTTTGTAGATATAGTTTTAATTCGAATTTTTGGATAAGTCGAATTTTTTTCACGGTCCCCTGAAATTTGAATTATCCAAGTTTCACTGTAGTAAAAAACAATGAAAACAATGATTACATAAAAAATTAATATAACAAAAAAAAAAACATTAAACGTAAAAATATTCAAAATAATTAAGATTGAAAAATAGAAAAATCTAATTTATCTTCATTTTAAGCAGATGTATAAAACACTTTAAATAAAAATCAATTTGGAGACTTTTTCTGTACCCAACATGTTGTTTCGACTGGACTAGCCCAAAGGAAGAAAAAATTCTTTCATTGCCATCTGAAGATGCTTGGGATGTGTGAAGTTGTTCAATAACATTAATGATGTTAGTGTCAAATTTTGTGTGATTTTCCACCACTCAATTGGTGTCACTTTTGAAGTGACATTGTTTTCAAAAAAATGTTTTTGAAAAGGTACACTTTTTGCCTGGAACTTTACAATTATTGGTAAAACGTCAATTTCAAGATACTCTTCTTTTGCGAAGTCCAGTGCTTTTGAGGTCTCTTCCTGTGTTAAATCTAAGTTAGGAGATTTTTGCTTTGGGTCAAGCAGATATGACAAAAAATGTGCTTCTGTCATTGCCATTTCATACTAACTTGCGAATTTTCTTATACACTCCTCATTTCCAATATTTCTGAACTTGTTTTCAAGCTCCTTCCATACACATACAGAATCACTAATTATACATGTATTTACTTTGTACTGTATCAAATATTACAGAAAGGGTTTAAGTAGGAAAAGCAAGTCTTCTACACTTTTTTAATTCCTACATTCCCTACTTTAGCCTGTATATCTTTGTCTATTTTTTAAGTTTATTTTTTTATAATTATAATGTATATCTTTGTCTATTCTTTATTTATTACTTTATGTTTATTTATTACGAAAACTTACAGTAATTCTCGATGACTGCTTCACTATTTCACTGCTTCTACTATAATACTTTACTTGTATTAAGCACTGAAGTTAATTAAATTAAACGTAGTTTATACCAATATTTAATCTAATATGGTATTAGATTAAAAACTCAAATATTTAAGTCCACTTAGAGAAAAAAAAAATCACAGAGACGGTAATATAAGGCTAGCATCTTTAAAATTATGTAACTACCCAAAAAAAAGGTGGAGAAAATGACAGTCCAGCCTATATGTAATTTCTAAGAAGGTAAAAGGGTTATAACGACATCGAAAATAACGGTACCCTTCTAGCTAGGAACGTGAGGAGATATTCAACCTTTTGGATTAGGTTCTCTCAGAAAATTATTATAAACGTGTTTTTCGACGATATTTAACAAATTTATCAAAACGAACCCGCGCGAAACCGGGAAAAGCATTATCCAAAGATTAACCAACCCGACGTCTTTAATAAGTCGGTAGATTCCAATGAAATTTAACGAGCTATTTGCGAATATCACCATGGGCGTATCAGCAACAGGAGTAAAGGGATTAAAAATTGTTTAATATTTTAATTATAAAAAAATGTTACAAACTCATTGCAGATAAGACTAGTTTTCAAGTTTGTTTTAAAACAGATGCGCCGTGGGCTTTAATTATAATAAAGCACACTTCATAAAAATTGTCTGTTTTTGTTTATGCATCCTTTTTAGTAAGATAAACCTAGTAGGTGTCTAAAAAGAACTTAAATTTTGTCTTTTTTACAGGTATTGGAGGAGTCTTCTTCTTCATCAGTCTAGTGTGTGCTATTCAACTAATAACATGCATTATGTCTGAATATAGAAGATTGAAATCACCAACATTGTTTAGGGCGTGCAAAGTAACTACACAGAAGTTGATCTATTTCGTCATTTGCTTGGCCAGCTTGATACGGGGTGCATATTTCATCTTTCCTGTAAGTATTGAGCTTTGAAATAATATATCATCCTTTCAAAAAGTCACTGCTATTCCGTCTTTGCATGGAAGTTATGTGTTGAGGAATTAAAAGAATATTTTATTGTGTGAATTAATGTAATAATTTGTAATACATCACGTTTTTATTAGTTTTTACCAGATGTGACTAAATTTTTATCTCTAGGGGCCATATCTACTTGTTTTGGTGCTAACAGTAGTACTGTTTCAAATTCTACATAATCAAACGCCTTTTTGTAATCGATAAATGCAAAGACCAATTGTATGTTGTACATGATGAATATTTTAATTATCTTTATGGTATGCAAATATGTACTCATTTGTGCTATATCCTTGCTGTTCGTTGGATTAATAGAAATCAACTGTAGATGTTAGTTTTTTTATTAAAATTTTCATTTTGATAAAGAATTGATCTTCCTTTTTCCCTTCCACTTTACTAATAAAAGCTCCCATTATCAGATTTTAATGGACCGGTTCATACATTTTTTGCTCTTTTATTTTCCTCATTTACCTCTAATAATTTCATATTGTATCTCTTGTTCAGTCTTAGATTTATATACATAATTTTTAAGGAAATGCAGTCACTAGATATAGTCCATAAATTCATCAAAAGATAGTCATAATACACATTTATTAATGTTTCCAAGTGAACTAAAAAAGAAACTAGGACCTCTACCAGTATTCAACACGAAAGATATAAATGAAATAACACAAAAATTAACGAACGACATAACATCAACTGCAAAAAAGATCTGTGATAAAAATAAAAATCCCAGAAAAACGAAACTGAAACAAACAACACTTAATTTAATGGAAGAAAGAAGAAGAACATCGAAAGAATTACCGGAGTATAAAGCTATCAACAATAAAGTTAAAAAGAGCATAAGGTGAGACTTGCGGGCTTATAAAACAAAACAAATATTGCAAACCATCGAAAACAATAGAAACATGAGAGTATTGAAATCAAATTTAACTAAAGGAAAATCAAATATAACTAAAATCAAAAATCAACAGGGAATACGGTGACCGAAAAAAACTCAAATAATCAAGGAAATACAAACGTTCTATAAGAATCTTTATACATCTACTATACAGAACCCGAAACAGACCACAGAACAATTCTAAACGTCGGCTCGGAAAACCCTCCCTAAAATAACCTCTTCGGAAATTAGACATGCCTTACAGCAAATGAAAAACAAAAAAGCTCCCGGCGAGGATCGTATAACGTCTGAAATGTTAAAAATGGGCGGCAACATCGTTGTAGAAGTTGTGGAAGTCTTACTGAATAAGTGTCTAACAGAAAAAAGAATACCCAGCCTATGGGAAAACGCCGATAATAATACTTTTACACAAGAAAGGAGACACTACATAATATTGAAAACTACAGACCTATAAGTTTGTTGTCACACTTATAACAAATTGTTAACAAGAATAATAACCAACCGCATAAACACAAAAACTTGATTTATATCAACCGGTTGAACAGGCGGGATTTAGAAAAGGGTTTGGCGCTAATGATCACTTACAAACCATCAGAACACTAGTAGAAAAAACCACAGAATATAATGTACCTTTACATATGGCATTTATCAACTTTCACAAGGCTTTCGATAGTATTGAGACTTGGTCCTTTTTGTCAGCCCTGAAGGATGCTCGAATAGACTCACGGTACACTACACTCATTAAAAACATGAACAGGCCACATTCCACATCAAAATCAATGAAGACGAAAAAACTGAAAAAATGCGCCTTGATAAAGGTATTAGACAAGGTGATACTATTTCACCAAAGCTTTTACCTTAGCATTGGAAAATGTATTCAAACAGCTTGACTGGGAGGAAAAAGGTCTAAACATTGATGGTGTACGTTTGAGTCATTTGAGGTTTGCGGATGACATAGTATTATTTAGTACAGATATCAAGGAACTGGAGCAAATGTTGAAGGAATTAAACCAGCAGTCAAATAAAATAGGTCTCAAAATGAACCTTCAGAAAACAAAAATAATGAGTAATTTACAAACTAATCTTGTTATTGACAACGTCAGTCTTGAAAATGTAGACCACTATATATATCTTGGACATACCATTAAAATCGGCAAAGAAAATCAAATAGCCGAAATAAAAAGACGCATACAACTGTCTTGGGGAGCTTTCGGCAAATTAAGCTTTATTTTGAAGAATAAAGATATACCAATGTGTCTAAAACGTAGAGTTTATGACAAATGTATCTTGCCTGTAACTACATATGGACTGGAGACCATGGCCTTCACAAAGAAAACCTTAGAGCAGACTCAGTACAACCCAAAGAGCAATGAAGAGGGCCATGCTAGGGATTAGTTTGAGAGACAGGATTCGAAATAACGTCATTCGTGAAAGAACAGAAATTACTGATGTCTCAGAACGTATTGCAAGGCTCAAGTGGCAATGGGTCGGACACGTTGCCCGAGATAATCCCGAAAAAATGGACGCAAAGATTAACAAACTGGAGACCAAGAGAGAACAGGCGAGGAGTAGGCAGACCGCAGAAGAGGTGGACAGACGATATCAAACAAGTCGCGGGCAAGCAGTGGATGAGAATTGCCAAAAGTAGAAATCGATGGAAGCAAATGGAAGAGGCCTATGTCCAGCAGTGGACGAACACAGGTTGAAGAAGAAGAAGAAGAATGTTTCCATGCAAAATATTTTCAAGATTTTGGACAATTCCTTTTGTTGATACCGACATATTTTTTATGGATGCCATTGTTTCCAATTTATTGCTAAAATTTTTAATCAATGCTTCTTCAGGTCTCCAGCTGTAATAAAATCCTCTCTTTGTACGACCGTGTTATGTTTAAAAAAACTATTCAAGTGGATAATTTTGTTCATAGTTTTTATGAACTGTTTCTTCTTCTTTTGGTGCTATTCGTTTCGAATATTGCCGATCATTCTGGCTATAATTATTTTATTAACTGGTGCCTTAAATAGATCAGTTGTTGTGTAGAACCATTTCCTCAGGTTTTTTAACCATGATATTCTTCTTCTCCCCATTCCTCGCTTTCCGAATATTTTGCCTTGAAGGATTATTTTCTGTAATCTGTATTTAGTGCCGTATCTTTTTATGTGTCCGGGATAATCTAACTTTCTCCTCTTAATCATATACATCACTTCTCTTTCTTTCCCCATTCGTCGTAGTACAGTCTTGTTGGTTATCTTGTCCGTCCATGATATCCTTAGGATTCTTCTGTATAGCCACATTTCGAAGGCTTCAAATTTTTTCTTCATCGCTTCAGTGAGTGTCCAGGATTCAACTCCGTAATATAATATCGAGAAGATATAACTTCGTAGGAGTCTTACTTTTATCTCCAGATTAAGGTTGTGGCTTTTAAAGAGTTTGGCCATGTTGTTGAATGCATTCATAGCCTTCTCTATTCTACATTTTACTTCTTGTGAGTGATCCCATTGTTCGTTTACTATTGTTCCAAGACAGTTTAAACTGTTTTACTCGCTCCACTGGTGTATTCTTCATAAGCAGTTGGACGACTCTAATTTTATTTTTGCTGATGACCATAAATATAGTTTTTGATATCTTTACTTGTAGTCCAAATGTTTCACTTACTTACTTCATTTCCTTTGTTTATTGCTGTAAACTGCCTGCAAAAATAACGGTGTCATCTGCATAGCGGACGTTGTTTAGTTGTTCTCCATTTAAAAGGATTCCATGTTCCCAATTTTCAAGGCTTCACTAAATATTTCCTCTGAATATAGGTTGAATAATATAGGTGAAAGTATACATCCTTGTCTAACGCCTCGCAAAATCTGGATCGCGTCCGTCGGTTCTTTGTTGCTGTAGCATTATAATCTAATTTCACAATTGAGTGTTACCCAATTTACTAATAATAATAATTATAATTCATTTTATAACTTTATGTTGTTCTGAAGCTATTTTCTTGTGGTATTAAATACTATTTAAACATCTTGATGGGAACAACCACAATATATTTATTAAAAAAGAAGCTTTATAAAATGTTTAGACAACGATTTCTGAATTAGAAGTCGAAACGTCAATAAAGTTTGTTTTTTTTTTAATAAATATATTGTGGTTATTACCATCAAGACGTTTTTAACTTTATTTAAAATCATATTTTTTTTCATGTTCCTTGGTTTTATTTAAAAATTATATGTTTGTTATCGTCTTTTCTTTACTGCAGCCATGTTATTTTTAGCCAATTTATACTACTACCATATATGTCACGTTTTTGTTTTTTATTAGAATTGTGGCAAAAGCTTTGAAGTCATAAATTTCTGCCTGTCCAATCTCGTGAACAGTGTATTTTGATTTCTTTGGAGACATTCTTACAATGGAGTACCATCTAGTGGGGTCCAATATGTGCACATTTTTTATGCTTTCTCAATATGACCATGGACCGAGTCACACTCATCATTGAATGGCCAGATTCAAAAAAGCAATGGTCAATTTTTGGAATCTCTAATGTCTAAACAGCGTAATGCAACATAGCACATACATTTACGTTGCGGTTTTTGGTCACCACACGTGTCACTTATTCTTAATCGTCACCAACATATATCCTCACATTATTCATATCCTGATAAATTAGGTTCACTGGTAGAAACATGGGAGGCACTATCTGAATATGTCACTTGTTGTGATGAGAGCGGTAAATATGACTATGCGTTTCATCATCTCGTATCGATTTGTTAAGAGCTAACAAACCAAACTTCTTCCCTCTTGAATCCATAATTATGTAATAATAAAATTATAAAACAATATTATAACGATTATCATAACAATCTCTATAACAATTAACTTAAAACTGATTCACGTATTTACGTCTTCACAGTTGTAACAGAATATATACATACTGAGAAATAATAAGTACCAATATGCCCAACTTATAGTGAAAGGAAAAATCGAGGGAAAGAGAGGCCTAGGAAGGAAAAGACTATCGTGGCTCAGAAACATCCGACAATGGACAGGGCTAAATTTTGAACAGCTAATAAGAACAGCTGAAGATAGAGAAGAGTTTAAAATTGTAGTAGCCAACCTCCATTGAGAAGAGGGCACTTTAAGAAGAAGTTGTAACAGAACTGAAAATGCAACGGACCACCCTGCTAAATATAATAAACAAATTATCAATTGATTCACGTGTTTCACAACTGTAACAAAACTGCAAATACAACGGACCACTCTGCTAAACATAATAAACAAATTATCAAATCCACAGTTGCTACCTGCAATCAACATACAGTGCAATAAAATTAATGCCACAAAAATGTAACTTAATATCAGTTTATTTATACTACGAAAACATAGTATCACAGAAATGTAACAGCACTTACATTTCTGTGACACTAAAAGAGTAATTAATACGAAAACTCCTTACTGGGTATTTAGGTGTTCGGAGAGATAAGTTTTGTGTCACTCAATTGAACTCACTAAAGGTACACTTGAGTGCAAAACAATCGACCCAAAGCTATATTTGAGATTACACCTTCTGTTTTAATGCATGAAGTATGAAAATAACAAGATGTAATGTGCAAACAGTAACTTTATTATTGAACTTACAAAAACTGCTATTTCATTATTTGGAAGACACATTATAAAAACAATATGCAATATGAACAAAGTTTCTCAAATATTCATCATTGGAACCATCCCAAAAAAAACGTAATGAACAGAGAAATCATCAATTACAAATGAATTTTTTTGTTTTTCAGTATCTGATACTACCACTCCTATTCCTAATTACACTTTTCAATCGATTTCGCATGGATCGGATGACTTTTCTAATACAATTCTTGAGGCATTGGTTCCCATTCATCATTAAGCGCAGCTCTCAATTCCATTATGCTCCTTGATGCATGATTTCTGCTCCGGACCCTTCGTTTAAGCTCATCCCAAACATGCTCTATTGGATTTATGTCCTTGCTCAACGCATGCCAATTTATTGTAGGTATACCGATCTCAGTCAGATAGGTGGTGGTGACTCGTGCAATATGACATCGTGCATTATCATGCAACAAAATATCTCTGATGTAACGATCCGCCGTTAAACCTCCTCCACATCACCCACCAGGCACGAAATCCAGCTCGGTTTTCCCATCCATGGAAATGCGTGCCCAAAACATACAAGAACCGCCTCCATATGACACAATTTCTCGTATACAACATTGAGCAAATCGTTCCCCTGGCCTTACATAGACTCGACGCCTCTTGTCGTTGCCATGTAGGCAGATCCTACTTTCGTCGGAGAATAATACTTGACTCCATTGATAGTCAACCCAATCCAGATGTTCGCGAGAAAATTCTAGTCGTCTTTGCTTCTGGACTGCAGTTAGCTTGGGACCAGTAGCTGCCCTTTTTGGTGTCAGGTTGGCTGCTTTCAGTCTCCTTTGACTGTCCAAACGCTGGTAACCACACCTCGGACCTCTCTAAGCTCTTCTTTGAGATTAGCTCCAGTCAAATGTCGATTTCTCAGAGATTTAGATACAAGAAATCGATCATCTCTCTCTGTTGTCATTCGTTTAGGACCTCCTTCTTGTCGGGCGGACATAATCACCAGCATCTTGGTACCGACAATACACTCGGGAAACAGCAGATTGGCTTAAATTTAGTCGATTTGCCACGGCTCTCTGGCTCAGGTCTTCTCTCAATAATGCTACTGCTTGAGCTGCTTTGACGAATGTGGTATCCATTTGTTATGAAGTTACGAACTTAATTGACTGATGTATTAGTGGATTGCTATGGAAATTGATGCTTACGGTGTTAATTGAATGTGTTACGTGGTGCTGTGTCGATTTCAATGGTCAAATTATGACCCCCTCTCTACGTGTTGCATTATTTATTTGTAATACGTCACCCGATTTACCAAAAATCAAAATTTTTTTTCAAACTCAATAATGAGGTTAATAATTTTACACTAAATTTTTTTAAATTTACACCTTTTTTGATTGAAACAGGAGACGTACTTTCGCAAAATAATTTTGAGTTGTTTTTTGCACTTAAGTGTAGTTCAATGGTCCTAGATATCTCAAAACAGGGAAAAAATGTAGTTACATTTTTGTGTCACTAAGCCGACGAATATGTGTGTGGTGTGTGTGTGTGTGTGTTATGTAATTTTGAGAGTATCCAAATTTAAATAAACTATTGACCGAGATAATTGCAAAAAACTATTATTTTTGCAATAATTTATAAATGTTAATAATTTTGATTTTTGCATAACGACATATAATATAGCTACTTAAAATTGTAGCAGTTACTGAGTTATTAAAGTGGGCTAACTTTCAAATAGATCGACCGAGTAGGACATGTAATATAGCTACTTCAAATTATGGCAATTAATAAGTTATTAAATTGTGCTATAAATATTACCCACATAAAGCAAGTAGTTTATTCAATTTATTTATCCCGGAGAGCGATTATTTAAACAACTGTATTTGTCCAAACAGTGACTTGATTATTAAGTATTTTGTAAATTACGATTGATTCTTTGAAGCTTCAGTTTTAGGGTATATTAAAAAAACTTCCAACATTTTATTAAATTTTTTATTAAATACAGTTTGAAAAAGGGCAGACGTTTTTAGCTTATAAACATTTATAATAACTTTGATACTGTTTACGCCACACGCTTATATGTAGGTTCAATCAAAAGCTGGTGAAAAAACACTAAAAAAACAGAATTTTCTATGACCAATAGGAACTAAGATCGTATTTTATTCTTTAAAATCATACTTCTTCTTCTTCTTCTGGTTCCTATCCGTTTCGGATGTTGGAAATCATATTGGCAATCATAACCTTGCTCGCTGCGGCTCGAAACAGCTCCGTTGAGGTTTTCTTAAACCATGTTCTTAAATTCCGCAGCCATGATATTTCTCCTTCTACCGGTCCTCGCTTACCTTTGACTTTACCTTGCAATATAGACTGTAGCAGGGAGTAACGGTGCTGATTTCTCATAACGTGTCCCAGATATTGCAGTTTTTATGCGTTTGATCGTAAACACAATCTCTGGTTCCTTCTTCATTTTTTTCCTAGAACTTCCTTGTTCGTGATCCTTGCTGTCCATGATATTCTCAGCATTCTTCTATAAAGCCACATCTCAAATGCTTCAAGTTTTTTAATAGTGGCGTCTGTAAGCGTCCATGCCATCCGCCCCGTACAACAACACAGAGAAAACATAGCATCTCAAATGTCTCATTTTTGTATCATACTTCTATTGTTTATTAATATTAAGAAAATTGAAAGTATTCAAAATGAAGATCTAAATTTTGTGATACAACTTATCGATGGCATATATTGCATATTCGAGATCGGAGTCTTTCAAATTGATTAGTTTTCTGTAGGAGTTTTCCAAACAAAGTCAGAATAGCCATGTTAATGTCCAACATTCCAATTCAAACATAGTCAGAAAGGCAGTTAAGATTTGATTTCACGTATAGTACCTCTGCATATTCGCTTATACATACTGTATCCTAAAAGGAATCTTCAGAGCGACAATTCACAGAAGCCCTGAACGTGAAAATAATCTTTCCTGTCGAAAAGGAAGCAACGATAAAATGGCTTCACTATGGACACAATAGCGACATCTGATATTAAATCACAAACTAGAAATCCGATGATTTCTAATTGACGAAACCAAAATTCAGATTTTTGCTTTAATATGTGCCTTCTAAGAATTGCAAGCAAACAGACGTCGATAAAGGTGTAATTAGAGAAACTGGAGAATCTAAAATTGCATTCCACAATATATCTCCTCAACTAAGCAAAATCTTTCGCGAATTGGATTCTAGTACTCATACGGAGTATATCGAATTAAAAAGAAAGACGGTTAAGATTGGATTTCACGTATAGTGCCTCTGCATATTCGCTTATACATATTTCATCCTAAAAGGAATCTTCAGAGCGACTATTCTCAGAAGCCCTGAACGTGAAAAGAATCTTTCCTATCGAAAAGGAAGCAACGATCAAATGACTTCACTATGGATGCAATAGCGATATCTGATATTAAATCACGAACTAGAAATCTGAAGATTTCTAATTGACGAAGAAAATTGCCAAAATTCAGATTTTTGTTTTAATCTGTGCCTTCTAAGAATTACACGTTGATAAAGGTGTAATTAGAGAAATTTTTGATTCCCCATTTTTTCTAATTACACTTTTATCAATGTCTGTTTGCCTTTCAATTCTTAGAAGGCACAGATTAAAGCAAAGATCTGGATTTTGGTTTGTCAATTAAAAATATTCGGATTTCTAGTTCGTGATCAAATGTAGTAGTTGTTTCTAGGCGCAACATACGTCCTTTGCAGTCGTTTGGACGCTTTAATTTAATGATATGCCTTGATCACTTTCAGGAAAATACAATTATATAACTATAATACAACATTTTAATATTTACTATTCACTTATATGAATGTTTACCTAAAGTCTCGTTGCAGGAATTGTTTGAATACGGCTGGTCAAACAGTCTACTCTCCTCCTACTATCCGCTTCTAATGTCGAGTGCTTCGCTGATTGTTTGTTTTTGGGCAGAGGTAAGTTATAATATTTTTTCGTTTTATTAACACAAATAGTGATTTGCATCAATAAACAATAAATGCCGAAAAAGTTCTTAATGGACGTTGATACCATGTATTATAAAATACGAAGGCTATAAACATACCTGTAAGGGGATAACGACATATAAAATGTAAATTAGCCTATTTTAAGGTTATCTGCGGTTGTGGACTAAACATTTCGAAGTTTGCTGGTGAATTGGATGGTGGTAAAAGTTTTTTGTAGTGCATTGTTGTTAGAAATTAGGTATGTCAAGTTTTATTGAGTTCAGCTTTTCAAAAACATTAAATTTTAAGGTATAATTAAAACGATTAGTAATACACCCACACACAAAAATATTGCATTTTCTATTTTCAAAATTAATTTTTTTATTAACCTAACTGTAGACGCAGTTTAATTTTGTGTATCACGGTCCACTACACCGGTCATAATAGTAGTCCTCTGGCTACATTTTGTCTAAATGTCAATAAAATAATCTATTGTTTGTAGTTTTTTCAACATTATTTACTTATTATTATTGACGTGTTTTGTTTATTTACGTAGCACAAAAAATAGTCCACAATTTTTGTAATAGTTTGATTTATTCTCTTTGTTACTAAACAAATTTCAATTAAATTAAAAATTAGAACATCATATCAGTCTTCAAGAATTCATCATCGTCAACCTGTATGCGTCCACTGCTGGACATAGGTCTCCTTCAGTTATCTCCATCCGTCTCTGTCTTGTGCGGCTTGCATACAGTTACAGGGTTACGCAATTGAACTGTTACCTATTTAAACAACCTATTTTTTTGTATGAAATTATTTTTTATTAAATTAAATGACAAAAATGTGCGAAAACAATCAAAATTTCAGAATCCACTCACTTTAGCTCGATGTGGCCACCTTTTCTAGCGGCTAAATAACGCTTCACAGACATCGCGTTATGGGCAGGTGCATTGTCCTGGTGCAAGATCCACGATTTGTTTTTCCCAACACTCCGGCCGTTTCTTACGAACTCGCTCTCGGAGCGTTGCCAAAACTTTCAAATAGTAAGTTTGGTTTACAGTTTCACCCTCTGGAACCCATTCAGTCATCACGATGCCGTTGATGTCGAAAAAAAAAAAAAACGATTAGCATGGCTTTAAATTTTGATTTCGACATCCTTGCTTTTTTCATTCTCGGCGATGCAGGAGTTTTCCAGTGCATGGATTGCCGCGTTAGTTTCAACTTCATATTGGAATATCCAGGTTTCGTCGCAAGTGATGATGTTTTCCATCAATAGGCTCTTCATCTAACCGCTGAAGAAAATCTGAGCAGATCTGTTGACGGACGAGCTTTTGGCCAGGGGTCAAATTTTTTGGGACCAATTTCGCATAGACTTTCTTCATGTTCAATTCGTCATCTAAATTTTTCTGACAGTTTCTTTATTGGCGTTTACAGTCTCAGCAATCATCCGAATACTCATACGACGATCTACGCGCACAATTTCATTTATTTTGGTCACTATTTGCGGAGTTGAAACAGCGACAGGTCGACCTGGACGTTGGTCATCCTCGGTGCTCTCTCGACCTTCAGAAAACCTTTTTTACCATTCGAAAACACGCGCACGAGATAGAGAATTCTCACCATAGGCCTCTTTCAACAACTTATAGCACTCAGTCGGAGTTTTTTTTTAATTTAACGAGAAATTTCACATTGATCCGTTGCTCGTGTTTTTCGCCACACATTGTTATCGGCACGAAAAAAAAACACGTTCGTTTTTAACCTCTACAGAAAAAATACTACTACAGTGACAAAAACGTGTTTTCGTACTGAAAGAGTAGACACTTCCAGCTATCCAACGCTGCATTCGTTTCCCACCCTACCCCTCTAGGACGCCTTCTGCGCGCGCAGTCTCGTTATTTAATAGCAAGACCTCGTATGTAACTTTCTTAATATCAACATTTTATTAAAGCAATTTGGCTTAAATCCTAATATTTTAATGTGTAGAATCTACGGTTTCTTTTTGTACAATTACCTAAGGACCACCCTGTATATCTGGTTAGTGTATCTTTATACAAGTCGTTATTTTCTGGGGAATAAATTTCCTTTTTCTTGTTTTTAGGATCATCTTTGTTCTTTCCAATTTGCCATTTAATCGCATCTTAGCTCGGATTAATCCGTGGTCACTTCTTATTGAAAATTTGTAAAGTACTTCGTTATCTTTGATTATTTCTTTTCTGTTTGTTATGATATATTCTATTACCTTAAGGTTATATCTCATGAAGATGAGATATAAATATCCTGAGGCTTATGCTAATAAACTTTTATCAAATGAAATGCAGATATCGAGAACAGTTTATTAATTAACTAATTGCCTAAATAAAGTAATTACCTAAATTAATATAACACTACACGACACAAGGACAAACAGTTATATATATATATATATATATATATATATATATTATATATACATATATATATATATATAATATATATATATATATATATTATATTATATATATATATATATATATATATATATTATATATATATATATTATATATAAGCGAGGTTCTCTGCCGTTTCTCGCATTTCGACCGCCATCGTTTTCTGTCCATCCATTCGTTTTCTCTGATGGCTCTATCTCTCATTATGTGCCGTACATTTTCTTCCCAGGCAACTGAAGGCCTTCCCCTTCTTCTTCTTTGTTGTGGTATGTAATTTGAAGCTTTCTTTGGCCTATCTATCTTCATTCATTCGTTTCACGTGACCATACCACACTAGTTGTCTCGTTTCAATTCTATCTACACTGGAATATACAGTATTTGTCCTCCTTCTAATATCTTCATTCCTGATGTGATCTTTTTGGATATACCACACGCTCTCCTTAGAAAATCCATTTCTACTACTTCTATTCTTTTTTTTTTTTTTGAAAAGAACAACAGTTTAAAATTTTAAAAAACGGCGAAGCTACATGTTGGTTGGCATCAGGAGAGAATGATTATTCTCTCTCCTGATGCCAATTGGTATTAATATAAATGATAAATAGGCAAATTTATACGATTGCTTCGCCATTATTTTTTATAAATTTTGATCTAGGTAGAAAAAATTACATTTCTGTCCTGTAATTTGCGAATTTCTTGGGTAATGTACAGCTAAAGAACCGAAAAGTGACCATATGAAACAGTAAAATTACTTGTACGTTTTAGTTCTTTATTAAATGACATAATCAGTAGTTATCTTACATATCGATTACAATTTTTTCCGATAATGATTTCACGATAAATTATACACTGCTGGACAAATAATTTGGACAATAAAATCATAAGAGATGTGAATCTACTAATAAATCTGATTTACTACTGTAAAAATTGTTTTGACATTATTGTCATAATGACAGCGAGTTTTATGTGATTAATATTACTTGCAGGTATTCCATTTACCGGGAATTCGATGGGACCGACCGCAGTTTCTCTCCAAATCTTTTCTGGCCTTTGTTACTTTTAATTTGATCAGGTAAGTCCAGTATCATTTAGTGAGAAAAACACTGCGCGTCATTAAAAGAAGCCACCTAAAATGTTTGGCATTTTTTAATTTTTACGAACCCTACACGAAATTGATTGTCGATGATAGTGGCTTCATATCAGACGGATATGTGTCATGCAAGAAAAATTGAAATAAATTGTTTTTTTTTGTACACAGCTGCTATTATTCTTTTTATAAAAATCTCACTTCCTGTAATTTTAGTGAAGGCTTCAAAAGTTATCTTGTGCACATTCTGATATCAGAAATATATAAAATTATTATTTGAAAATACAGATGTCCGCTTTTGGAACAAAAATGGGTAAATGTCCATGTTTGATCCAAATGTAATGGTAGGTGTCCGTTTTTATGTCAAAAAAAGTTGTATTTGAAAGAGTGAACCCTCGGTTTGGACCTAACCAGTTTTATCTTTTATTTCAGTTGCATTCTACCTACAAAACAATTTAACTAAAATATATAAAGTAAAATATTCGAACTTATAAAATATTTAAACTTTAGTAACATTCAAATTGAAATTAATACAAGATCACCATCAAAATCAGCATTATTATTTTCACATTCACATTTATCATCACATTCAGCCGATATTTCAGGTTCTGCTTGCATTATGTTTTTGTACCACTGCAAAGTACCATTCTCCCTCCAATTTACTCCAAAATGTTTTTCAAACAATTTTGTTAGGTCCTTAACCTTTTCTGTTTTTTAGGGCCACACCAATACGACTTTCTTTTGGGTTGATCTGTCCAATGGTGCAGTTGGTCTTACAAATTTTCCTGTCTGCACTAGTGTCAAGGTTGCAAGCCATCTCTCCTTTCACAACGATGTTTCCCAATTTAGTTTTCCGAAGAACTATTCGTCGGCAGGTGGAAATTTTGAAATGAAGTTGAACAGCTGTTTTCATCAAACTTTTCGCTTCTTGTTTCCAGTCCAACGGACCTAATCCCTTCCAATCAACTTAATCGTACCATTATTCTTAAAAATTTCATGATATTCTTCTTTTGTCACAAATTGTTGATTTTTTTAAATGTTTTCTCTATCATCCCAAATACTCTGTTCGGCACGAAGGAATAAGTGTCCTGTTACAGGAAAGATTGTTTCAATTTTTCGTATGCTTGTTGGAGCACAGCTATCCAGAAACTTGCAGCACATAGTTAAAATATTTATATTCTTATTTTATTCATCAGACACCAAACGAATGGAGTCACATCCTGAGAGATTAGCTGATCTCAACTCATTGAAGACAATGGAAGAAACCTCGTTGGATGATTTTTTTGCTTCGTCTTCCGTCCAGGTATAAATTGAGACAGTACTGGGATTCAGGGATTCATTTGGCAATCCTTTAACTACTGAAAGGTTACAACAGTAAAACAGTCGTGAATAGTATGTATGATATATCAGTTACTTTTGGCAAAATAAGGTTCTGCTGACAATCAAAACTCAAAATAAAACATCCTTGTGGGTTTTCTCGCAGGTATTGGAAGAAGACTTGTGCCTGTTTCTTGTGTAACTCCATTTTCATTTTTAGACACCTTTTTTATTCCTCCGTTTTTTTTTTTTCACTTGGATAAGGTTTATCTTAAAAGATTCCACTTAATATTTTCTTGAAAATCCCTGAGTAACCTTCTCAGATTATTCTTTACCATAATTGAATATTTTCCACATTTTGGCAATATTCAGGTCTGATGGTAGGTAGACACGTGATGAGAGATGTCGGGAATAATACGATTCAATAGCTTGAAAACTACAGATGAACTTTTTTACTTCTTCTTTTTTCGGAGTAAACTTAACTTCCTTGTGGTTTCCGCCTCGGATTTCTACTGGGATAGAGATACACCGTTCTTGAATTTTTGGAACACTTCTATAATTATATGCTTAGTAATAGGCTCCAACACCTTGAAAAAAGCATCCCTGCAAAAGTTGAGATTGTTGCCATCGTGGTTTACAACCGAATATTGGAAGATTGTGGTTTTTCCCTTTATAGGCTCAAGCTTCTTTGTTTTGAGGGTGGGTGGGTGGTCCAGCCCGACAGTATTTCAAATTTTTATTTATATTTTAAAATCATACATTAACGTGTCACTTAAAAACTATTCATCACTAAGAGGAACATATACAGTAACTAACTTCTAACATATCAAACTTCCACCACCTATTGTTAATTTGTTACAGCAATCAAATGCTAAGTACATGAATGAGTTCAATAATTAGCTTACCTTTGTCGTGTCTGGATGTTTTTTTTTCCATTTTTCGGGATCACTCTTTCTCTTACGCGTCGTCCCTGGATTGACAGATATATTTGACATGAATTTACTTTGTAAACTAAGAATGTTCGAAAAAAAAACAATTTAAAGTAGTGATAAACAGAAATAAAACCATAACATCAGACATTGAAAGCAATGGCGGCCATTGTTGATTTCTCAGTCATGTAATCACAATACAGCGTTCTCATTGGACCTTTAAAAAACAGACCAGCCATATTTCAAGAAAAAGAGCGGAAAATAAAACATGCATTCTCCGAAGTCGTAAAACTAATATAAATTCTGCGAATTTTTTACCCTTAATTGGCCTGTTGGCATCCAGTGGTGGTGCGTAATAGTATATTACATAACGAGAGTTGTAAGAAGTTTATTATATGCGAGTAAAAAAGTTGCGCGCGAGCCGCGTAGCGGCGAGCGCAGTAATTTTACAAGCATGTAATAAGCTTACAACTCAAGTTGTGTACTATACTTTTTCTACGAATATTTTTATTTATAAAAATAAAAAGTATAACAAGTATAACAACTTTTATTTATTTAACAAAATTCGGGAATAATTTAATAATAATTGATGACGTAAACTGTACGGTGTGTTCTTTTTTGAATATTGGTATTTTTCAGTGTATGTAAAGGTCTGTAATTTTCAATATTAACGTTATTTTTCAAAGTTATAACACTTCTTAGCATAGAATATATTGCCCATAATGAGGATGGTTTAAATTTCTTAGCGATTTCTCCAAAATAGGACAAGAGTAGCTTTTCAGAAAATTAAGTTACATTATTTGTTGTACGCCAATCCATAAATTGCTGATATAACTTTTTATATCTTCCTCTAGATTTTTCTGGTAATAGGTTCTCGGTAGTGTTCGCAGCTAACTGCATAATATTGGGTGGTGTGCTACTAAATTTATCTTCACTATTCGATGAACTCATTTTATTTATCTGTATTTAAATTACCACTATATTTACACTGACAGATTAATAATTTTTTAATCTGTCAAAGTAACGTCTGTTAATCCGTTTCCATGGTAACTCGACCAACTGACTACAAGGCTTATATGATATGCACATTTTTATAGAACTGAAGCGTAATTTTTTTTATTACGTGCCAGTCATTACGTGTCAGTATCCGTTTTGATGTATTTACTTAGTATCCAAATAGTAGGTAATATACAATTTACTATACTCTGTTTTTTAACCAGGAGGAGTAAACCAAAAAGACAGATTCACACTCAAGAAAGTTACTAGAAAAGTCACCAAATACATTTGCTTTTTTTGTTGATTATCTCGGCCTTGCGGTAATCGAGTAATCAATATTGGACAACCTCACACGTCCAATTTTAACCTAACTTCGTTTATTTATGTTTGAATAATAACATAATTTTTTTTCAATTTACTTCCAATATATATTACAATAATGTTACAGATCTAAGTATGGTTTTTCTCAGAAATTTGTCTTTTAATAGTAGACCAAATTCTTATTCTGGTATGATCAATTTCTTGAATCTAGTTTTTTTTTCTTACCAGAAACTTTGTATAAATATGTGTACTTACAATTTCTTCAATGCTGGATTCTTGTTTAATGTTGACAGTGAGTTTGTCCCATTTGTTATCAATAAATAAAATTTACTAAAAAATACTGGATTTTTGTGAGATAATCAACAAATCCAATCTATTATATTACATTCTTGCATAATTTTGCAGTTTTCTTGTGATGATCTACAACCAGGAAGAACTAAACCAACTGTATCATACAATCAAACTAAAACACAACATTACTTTACTAATGTTCTTTTATTGTGATGAAAACAAAATGGAAATGCTTCTTAACAAGTATACACTAAATTTAAAAGATAGTTGCTGTTTTTCTTATGATAATTAGATATAAATAACATACATTTATAAATTTATAAACACTTTAAACTATATTTAGTATAAATATCATCTAGAAAAATATCACATTAAATACTATTCGCATATCACCAAGTCCAAGTTATTACAAACAAAGAGTCAGAAATCGATTTATATATTAGAGGAAAATAATAATAATAAATAAATTTCACAAAATGTCATTAGTGTCAATATGTCATAATTTAGTGGAGTAAACTTGCCTGCGGTTGGACCAATTGCAAACAAGCATTACGGCTCGGAAAATTTGAATTACTCCTCCTGGTTAAAAAACAGACCATAGTAAGAGAGTAGAAAAAAGTGTTTCTGCATTTTGGGAGTTTAGTTACAATATAATACATTGCATAAACTTAAAATTGTTAAAAAAATCTTATAACATTCTAGGTAGTCTCTTTTTAATGACGCATAGTGTAATAAGTTTGTTTCAATACCTTTAGCCCACTTTAAGTTTTGTTTCCAATACGATTCCTTTCATTTAATCTCATCAAATTCCTCAAAAACGTGTTTTTTCCATAGCCTAATTTTAATTTTCGCATATAACTAAACACTTGACTTGCTATAACCAAATAGAAGAAACGGCTGTTTTTTATTGAGCCTTGAAATATACAATACAAGTGTTATTAGCACATAGTTTTTATTGTGCTTTAGTTTCTTCTTCTTCAGCCTTAAATAATCCAACTTTGGACATAGGCCTCCCTCAAATCAATCCATTGTTTTCTATTTGCGCCACTTGCTTCCAGTTCTATCCTCTGATCTTATTAATGTCATCAGCCCATCTCATTTGTGGTCTTCCTCTGCTTCTCTTTTCTAACCATGTCTCCATTGTTGTATTTCGTGGTTCCATCTCTTATCCTTTATCGGGCATTGTGTCCTGCGAAGTTCCATTTTAATTTGGCAGCATGTTCTCCTGCGTCTTTTACTTTGGTTTTGCTTCTAATCCATTTGTTTGTTTTTTTTTGTCAATAAGTCTCACCCCGAGTATTGATCTTTCCATCGCTCTTTGTGCTTTTACTATTTTATTCATATTAGACTTGGCGAGTGTCCACGTCTGTGAACCATACGTGAGTATAGGGAGGGTACACTGATCGGAAATTATGGTTTTCAAATATTTTTCTATTTTAGTGCTTTTCAAGATCCAACTCAGTTTTCCAAATTCTGCCACGCTAATCTTATTCCTCTGCTAATTTCGGCAGTTTTGATTTTCGTTGTTAACTTTCATTATCTGTCCCGGTAGATGTATTCGCTTACTGTTTCTAAATTTATGTCGTTCAACGTTATTTCTCTAATGTTCGGTGTATTTGTCATTATTTTTGTTTTTTTCTAAGTTCATCTTAAGACCTACTTTTTCCGAAGCTTGAAATAGTTGCATCATCATGGTCTGTAGTTCTTCGAGACTTGTAGCGAATATTACAATGTCATCAGCCTATCTTATATGACTTAGTTTTCTTCCATTAACATTTATTCCTTTATCTGCCCAGTTAACTTCATCCAAGTGTGAATAGCTTTGGTGAGATAACATCTCCCTGGCGAACTTCTCTGTTGATTGGTATAGCTTTAGTTTTCGCATCTATTTGTATTTTCATTGTAGCTTTCTTGTAAATATTATATATGAACATTCTGTATCTGGAGTCTATCCTGCAGTTGTTCATAGCTCTCTCTATTGCCAAAAGTTCTATGGAGTCGAGTGCCTTTTATAATCAACGAAGCCAATGTATAGGTTCAAGTGATATTCATTGGCTTTCTCTATTAGAGTTCTGACTGTAAGAGGATGATTCGCTGTACTGTAACCCTTTCGGAATCCTGCCTGCTCTACCGGTTGATAGCTATCGAGCTTCGACGTTAACCAGTTAGTTACTACTCTCATAACGCATTAGTGCTTTAGTTTATTAATATATATTTGTTTTCTTTCAGTTACAGTCTTCTTTTAGCCGAATTTTTGACCACTCAACTTGCTGAACCACCCTCAGATGATCCCGGTTTCTACCATCATCTGTTCAACGGTTGCTATGCTGTATTGATGTTCATCGTTGTTATTTTCTTCTTGATCTACGGAGTGGAAGTCTACTTTAAGGTAATACCAAACATTAATGTTTCTCAGGTTTAAGAATAACAATATATAAGAATATTTAACATGAATGAAATAGTACCAGCCACCTAGATTGCCGATTTAGTACCTCTTCAACATTACTGACCATTCTACGAGAAGAATATGTGTCATACAAAGAATTAGTGATTTACAGTAAAGTACCACAATTGTAGCGAGTGACTCATGTTTTAAGGCCAGTAAAATTTGACGTTCACCCTTTAGAAAACAATATTTTTGTTCCGACAACAGGAGAAAATTTAATTATTATTTAATAAACAAATTAGTAGATTATTGCAGAATCTGTTTAATCTTTGAAAATTAAAAAAAAAACTTTCTTCTTCTGACTGTTCAACGTTAAGATATAACAGATCTCATTTTATATGAAATACATATCAATAATTTGACTGGTCTATTTTTAAACTGTTCAAATGTTTTGGCAAAAATTTAGGTTCTAGAGAAAATGTAACGTTGTCAGCGTGTAAGATACAACTTAAAGTTATGTGCAATGTTGTAGTTTATATCTTTCTCTATCGGTAGATAATGTCTGAGATCAACAATTTCGTTCCAGATTAATTCGATGTAACTGGTAACAACGCCATTGTTCGGGTAGTTCTTTTATTGCATGCTATCAGTAAGTCCGTTTCCTAAGTACACTGACAGGGGTTTCATGAAGCAGAGAACAGAATTGTTTGTAGTGTCACAACTAATTTGTAGTGTTACAACCCATCTTACAAGAGCAATTAAAATCTTTGAAATTTTTTTTCTCAACAGTTTTCCCTTTATAGTTCTAATGAACATTTTTTAAATTTACCTGGTGCTTATTTTCTTCTCTTGTTAAACCAAGATATTTTCGTTTTCGTCCCTTTATTGGTCTACCTGTATTGACTGAAGTAGAGTTTATTATCTGTTCTAGAACTTGTTCTATTTCCGAAGTTACATCACCTTCCTGATAATCTTCTTCATTGTGTCTTGTCTTCAGTTTGATATTCATCCTCTAATCTGAATTCTGGATCTACGTCGGAATCATAGCCGTCATACTCATTATCTTGATCATTGTTTGAAGATTCCTTATAATTTAAAAAGAAAAAAGTTAGTTAAATGCTAATATAAATAGTCGTGACCAAATTTAGTATATGTTATCCTCTGGAGGATCTCATTGTTTAAGAAATGTTTTACTACCCAATAATTGTTAATAATTAATAATTTGTAATATTTTCACTACTTTATAACACAAACATGCAGTCTTAGCTTTAGCGCGTGACAAACAAAAGTATTAGTCATTGAAGAAAGGAACCAAATCCTGAAGTATTTTATGCTATACTATTCCCAAGTTGTGCAGAATGGAACCCACCCATCTTTTCTGCAGATTACTTCAGTGAGTACTGAAGTAATGTGTGTTGGTTCACTACCTGATAGATGGCAGCATGCACTTGCTGTGGCTTGGTTCAATTCTGCATATAATTTTTAACCACTATTCAAAGCGGTACCACGAATAAAGCAAAAAAATGTATTTTGTGGGTTGGTTCTTTTCGTCAGAATGTCGTCCAATTGTAGTTCGAATGCCGCCATACCATTGTGAATTAAATCCGATAGAACTTATATGGGCTCAAATAAACATGAAGTAGTAAGGTTACTTTCAAAGTAAATGATGTAAAAATCTGCTTAATAGTGCCGTTAGAAATGTGAGCTAACAGTAGTGGATAAAATGTATCGAGCATGTAGTGAAAGAAGAACAGAATATATAGAATCTTTATAACTTCATGTAAATTACTATGAAACCAGTTGTGGATCTAAACGAAGATACTAATGATGAATCTGAAGATGACAGATGACTCAGATTAGATTATATAAATGTAAGTTTTTATTTGGACTTATATTTTTTTATATGTTATGGAAATAATTATTCAGTTAAGGTAAATCCTTTATTTACTAGTACTGTTTCGTACTAAGAATTGTTTAAGTAATTCAGTTTTACCTGTGCTAAAAGTTACCAGACGACCCTTTTCTAATCCCATGTCATTAAATCTCATTTGAAAATAGGAATTAAATCCTTGAATCACTCATAAGTTTATTAATTTAAACGGATAAAGGGTTTTTCCCAAAAAAATATATTTTAAAGGTAATGGATTTTGACAAGAGCTATGAGTCATGCCGATTTAGTACACAAGTTTACCTGTTATTTACAAGGTCATAGCTCCTGTCAAAATTCATTAGCAAAAGGATTCGTTTATTCTTTATCTAAGGCACCTATAAAATAAGAAAATAATTTTTGACAATCAATTCGTTCTAAAATCCTGATTATTTTTGTAATAATAAGCGAATGCCTATGGGTCGTCGATTTCCTTTACTCTCCTTTCCTAAAGGTGGCACCCCCGATTTTAGGGTTAGTATAAAATTAAATGTAGCGTCTAATCTAGAATGGACGGCTACAAACAGCGTCTGACCCAGAATGGGCGGCTGATAACTAACTCACCAACCCGCCTGACAAGCGTGGTGTTTTAACTACCACTACCTCCCTCCCTACTTTTATGATGGGGAATAATAAAACAAAAGGAAATGGTCCCCAGGTGGGTAAGAAAATTTCTAAATCCCACACCTCAAAGGTCTGTACCCACGGTATCTTTGGTATAGTACCAAAGGTCTCTAGCTAAAATCCGGAAATCAACTGTATTATAAAGGAAATGAAAAGAATAGTAAATTTGGAGGATTTATAATAATGTGTCGCCTGTCATATTTAAAATAAGAAGAACATCAATTAAAATTATCCAGGTATATACCCCCAGACAGCTTGTGATGACGAAGATATCGAACTATTTTATGAAGATATATCAAACGCTATGGAATAACATAAAAATCGTCTTACACTAGTAATTGGAGATTTCAATGCCAAACTGGGTAGACAAAAAAAGGAACCACCAGAAGAAATTAAAAACCAATTTAAGGCTAAAATAAAAAATGTCAACTCAGAGCTACAGCCAGAAATAAGCAAATCAGAAATAAAGAAGGCATTGAAAGAAATGAAAAACAACAAATCGCCTGGAAAAGATGGAATAACTGCAGAGATGCTGAAGTATGGTGGAAAAGTGGTAATTAATACTCTACATTTCCTTTTTAACAAGATATTAAAAGAAAAAATAATCCCAAACAACTGGAAGGAATCCGTAACCATTATGCTACACAAGAAAGGGAATAAAGCAGTTATAAAAAACTACCGTCCTATAACACTCCTCAATGTATGTATAAACTCCTAACAAAAATTTTAACCAATAGATTCGAAAAGATCAGTGCATAGATTTCGAAAAGGCTTTCGAGAGTGTCGAACATTGGTCAGTGAAAAGTTCTTTGATTAACAGCGGAATTGACCACAGATATACGGCACTAATAGCCAATATACATAAGGAAGCCAAAACAACAATTAAAGTATATGAAGAAACAAAATCAATACAAATAAACAGAGGCGTGAGACAGGGTGACACGATTTCACCGAAACTTTTCAATCAAGCTCTGGAAGATATTTTTAAAAGATTAGAGTGAGAAGAAAAAGGTATAAAAATTTGTGGACAACGCTTGAACCATCTAAGGTACGATGATGACATCGTATCGATAACCGATAAAAAAGAAGAATTGTTTGAAATGATGAAAGAATTGGACATAGAAGCTGGAAAGATAGGCCTTAATATAAATTACAGCAAGACCAAAATCATAACAAATACAGATGAAGACATCACAATGAGAATCGGACAAGATGAAATAGAACAAGTTAAGGATTATATATATATATATTATATATATATATATATATATATATATAATATATATTTATATATATATATATATATATGTGCAGCTTTATCGACCGTTTCCAATTACGGTGCAGCCTCCCTTATTTCAATGTTATTCTATGTTCTTATTAGTATTCGACGATGTCTTAGTTATTCGTTGTTCTTGTAATTTGCGCTCATTTGCGTCCATATTTTTCTATCTTGTGCTATTCGAGACCACGTTGTTCCTGTTAATTTTCTTATATCATAATTCCCATCTGAGATTCGGGCGCCTCTTTGGTCTCTTAGCGTTCCTGGGATACCACATAGTTGTTCTAGTGGTCCATCTGTTGTCTGTTTGTCTTGCTATATGTCCTGCCCATTGTCATTTCAGGGATTTTATTCTTTGGATTACATCAGTCACCTGGGTTTGCCTCCGTATCCATTCAATTCTTTTACGATCCCTCTTTGTTATCCCTAGCATACATCTTTCCATTGCTCTTTGAGTTACTTGGAGTTTCGGCGTTATTTCTCTCTTTAATATCTAAGTTTCACATCCATACGTCAATACGGGTAATATGCATTGATCAAATACTCTCTTCTTGAGGTATAGTGGCATTTTGGACTTGAAGACTATGGAGTTTCGTCCGAATGCTGACCACGCTTGTTTTATTCGTCTGTTGATTTCCGGAAGTAGTGATCCCGATTTATGTATGAGCTGTCCCAGGTATATGTATTCGTTTACTACTTCTAGCGAGGTTTCATTAATTTTTATTTCCACGTTGGCGATCAGATCATTGCACATTATTTTAGTCATTGCTAGGTTCATTTTTAGGCTATCTCATTGCTGGCTGTATTAAGGTCATTAATTTGTAGTTGTAATTCTTCAGGACTTCTAGCAATTAGAATGATGTCATCAGCGAATCTAAGATGGTTTAGGTATTCTCCATCTATACATAGACCTCGGTTGTTCCAGTCTAATTTCCGGAAGATATTTTCTAAGGTTGTAGTGAAGAGCTTAGGGGATATGGTGTCTCCTTGTCGGACTCCCTTCTGAGTGGGAAATTCTGGAAATTATATATATATATATATATATTATATATATATATATATATAATATATATACTATATATATATATATCTGGGTCAAACTATAAAACTTAACAAAGAAAACCAAACAGCAGAGATAAAAAGACGAGTTAGACTGTCATGGGCGGCATTTGGCAAACATGAAATTTGACTACATTCTTAAAAACAAAAGATATTCACAGCATCTTAAGACCAAAGTATACAATCAGTGCGTACTCCCTCTTCTCACTTATGGTTCCCAAACGTGGACATTTACAAAAGCAAACATGGATTAAATCATAAAAACCCAAAGAGCGAAATGGATAAAAAGAGAAACGAGTGGATAAGAGAGAAAACAAAGGTGAGGGATGTTAGACAAGAAGTTGCAAAATTGAAATGGAGATTTGCCGGACACAATATAAGACAAAAAGAAGACCGATGGAACAAAATTCTTATCGTGGGAATATAAACGAAGCATAGGAAGGCCCCAAATGAGATGGGCAGATGATATCAAGAAGCACGTGGGCTCTAGGTGACTGTAGCGATAGACAGAGAAGAATGGAAAAGGATTGGGGAGAGACCTATGTCCAAAGATGGACCGAAGAAGGCTAATTAGATAGATAGATATATTTGCCAGAACTACATCTCTGCGACTATCATGCCTTTCGTCAACTAAAAAATGTTTTAAACGGTTGTCAAAGCTGTGGAGTCGTGGATTGCAGATCACGATAAAATTTTTTTGGAATGTCTAGATACGGTGTAGGTTCTTCATAATAAATGTGGCATGCTGAATAACAAAAACTTTGAATTTCAAGTTTTGTTCGCTTCTATAGTAGGCTAAGTATTTTCTAATACATCCTCGTATTGTATATTTTCAGGTCAGAGGAGGATTCATCGCAAGACCCCTACAACTGGCTGGCAACTCTTTCGAAACGGAGCCTTTGAAAGATGAGGCTCTCTTAAAGACGCAGATTAATTCGTCTCAGTTGCATCAATCCAGAATAGGACTTTTAAGTCAAGCTCTGATGTTGATTGTGATATCCGGATTCTTGTTTTCGGAAACTCTCTCAGAATTTTGGAAAACTAAGGTAAGTACTGTATTTATTGATTAGTTTAGTGATATGGAATTGGTTTATGGATCTTTATTTTAAATTTGGACACATAAAACGCGTTGTATGGATTTTTATTTTAAATTTTGGTATTATAAAACGACTTTTATGAATTTTTTTTCTAAATGTGGCACATGAAACTCGTGGTAATTTTCATTTTAAATTTTGGCACATAAAACGCTTTTTATGAATACGCGTTGTACCGATTTTCATTTTCAATTTTAATACGTATTGTATTGATTTAAATTCTAAAATTTGGCACATTAGATTTTCGGCCTTTTATAGATTTTCTTTTGTTTCAATTTCAATTTTCACTCTAAATTTTGGTGCATAAAACGCTTTTCAGGATTTTCTGTTTAAATGTGGTACATTAAACGTGTTCTGTTGATTTTCGTGTTTAATTTTGACACATAAAACTTCTTTTATGGATTTTCATGTTAAATTTTGGCATATACAACGCTGTGTACCGACTTTCATTTGAAATTTTGGCAAATAAAACGTTTTTATGGATTTTCTTTGTATATTTGACACATAAAACGTGTTGTGTTGATTTTCATGTTTAATGTTGGGACATGTGTCGATTTTCAGTTTAAATTTTGGCACATAAAACGTTTTCATAGATTTTTTTATTAAATTTGGCACAACAAACTGGTTGTGTAAAAAAAGAGAAAAGAAGATAGAAGTGCTCACAAAAAAATATATTCAGGGAAGATTTAAAAAAGAAACTTGATTGTCAATCGACATGCCAAAAGAAAATTTCGGGAACACTAGCCGAAGATTTTTTGAAAATCCTTAACTAGTTGCCTATACAACAAAAATTAATTTTGAATTGGTGAGTATACAGAGTGGCCCAAAAGTCTGGAAACGGCCAATTATCTCGTAAATTGTTAGTTATAATTGTACAAAATTTGAGGTACACCTATTTTGGGATACGGAGATTTCATATTTAATATTTGCAATGTTGCCAGGTAACAGGTAACGGGTAGGAACTCTTTAAATTCTTGAAGAGAGTCCTATCAGGGAAAATGAATCAATCCCTGCGCTCCGCAGATTCTGGAGGTTTCCTGACCCGGGAAACTAGTACCTGTTTAGGGTCCCTTGTCCAGGGTTACGGATGAAGTCCACAACGGCGGCCACGGCGGAGGAAGCGGAGCTTCGGTACGGTGCGGATGGCGGAAGTGGCAACCCTCGATTTTAGGGTTGATATAGAATCAAGTCACCGAATGATTGCCGGTATAAGCAGTCCATCAATTACTGGCCAACGGCTTCGGGCGGATGAACTGGTAAATGGAAGGGCACTCTTGTTGTCCCGAGACTGAGAAATCGATCTCAAAGGCGGAGGAACTAAGAAATGGTCAACGGCATAAGGATGCAGAAGGCAAGGAGAAACCACTGCATTAAAGATCCTAAGGGATATCTCTAGTAAAATTATCATGGCTGTGCGAAGCGAAATGATTTCTAGTACTGATCATGGATACCAAGATCCGGCAGGAGAGGTATACTTCATGACAACAGGGCCTCTCAGGTCGTAATTCTGCGAAATCCCTGTGTTAAAAATACAATAAATATTGGTACATGGAACGTCAGAAGCATGTACGAGCCTGGGAAAATTCACAACGTTATACAAGAGATGCAAAGATTAAACATCGATATTCTAGGCATCAGCGATACAAGATGGTCGGGTGCAGGCAACGTCTCGACAAGCAACGGTATGATCTATTTCTCAGGAAATGAATACCCACATCACAGATATGGTGTAGCAATTGTCGTTTCAAGAAGAATGACACAGTCTGTTACGAATTTTTCGCCAGTGTCCAGACAGGATCCTGCTCCTACAACTGCATACAAAAACTACAAAACTTAATATTATACAGGTATATGCCCCTACTGCAGATAAATCAGATGAAGAGATTGAGCAGTTTTATGAACAAATAAATCAAGTTCTAAAGTCTACAAAGCCAAAAGATGTTACACTTATCCTTGGAGACTTCAACTCCAAAATTGGCAAAGGAAAAAGCGGAAAAATGTGGGAGAATGTGGTTTAGGGGCAAGAAACGACAGAGGAGACAAACTTTTAGAGTTCTGTCAAGAGAATGATATGATAATTTCAAATACATTCTTTAAGCTACCCAAACGAAGACTGTACACAATGACTAGGGAAAAAACAATTAGGAATCAGATAGATTATATTTTAATAAATGAGCGATACAGAAACTGTATAAGATCAGTTAAGGCTTATCCAGGCGCAGATGTTTGTTCAGGTCATAACCCCCTGATAGCGCGGGTACACATTAGACTCAAAAGACCTTCAAATAAAACAAAAATAGATCACATAGATACCAGCCGCTTACAAGATCCAACAATTAAAGAAGATTTAAAACAACATATCAATGATAACTTACGAATGCTTTCTACAAAGACAGAGAACACGCATGTAGAAGACAAGTGGCAAGATTTAAAATTTTAGGTCTCATGGAAGAGCGAAGACAGTTAAAGGGAAAATGCAGCCAAAAACATAATGAAGTAAACAAACAAATCAGAAAAGAAATAAGAACTGCAAAGGAAAATTTTTATACAAGAAAATGCGAGGAAATCGAAGAACTACATCTCAAACATGACACTTTTAACTTACATAAAAAGATAAAGGAACTGAAAGGTACACAAAAACGAAAACATCTAAATCTCCTATGCAACGCAAATGGTGAAATAATAGCCGATCTACAAGAAAAGCTTAGGACCTGGAAGAACTATGTAGAAGAATTGTTCGACGATGAAAGACAAGAACCTAATATAGATAACTTGCAAGGCGACGAAGGACCAGAAATATCTAAAGAAGAACTATTATACACTATAAAAATAATGAAAAATGGTAAATCACCGGGTCCAGACGGGCTCACATCAGAACTTCTTAAGCTTGTGGAAGGCGAATCAGTGAATATTCTACTCGACCTTTTTAACTGCATCTACAAAAGAGGAGAAATACCAAAGGAATGGCTACTTTCAACTTTTGTAACCTTACCAAAAAAGGCAAATGCAAAACAGTGCACTGACTACCGCACTATAAGCTTAATGGGGCATACATTAAAAGTATTCATCAAAGTAATCCACTCAAGAATTAACAGAAAACTAGATGCAGATATTAGTAATACTCAATTCGGATTTCGGAACGGGCTTGGAACAAGAGAAGCACTATTTGCACTTAACGTCATATGCCAAAGATGTCTAGATATAAACCAAGATATATATATATATATAATATATATATATATATATATATATATATATATATATATATATATATGTGTGTGTGTGTGTGTGCTTTATTGATTACAACAAAGCGTTTGATAAAGTTCGTCACGATCACTTAATGAAACTTCTAGTAGAAAAAAACTTGGATAAAAGGGACATTAGAATTATCTCTAAGATTTACTATAACCAGAAAGCAAATATCCGAATAGAGCAAGAGACAACGGAGGAAATCGAGATCAAGAAAGGCGTAAGACAGGGTTGTATACTCTCACCGACCTTATTCAATCTATACTCCGAAGACATTATAAACACAGCACTTTCGGATCAAAATATAGGTATTAAGATAAATGGCATCCGAATAAACAACTTGAGTTATGCCGATGACACGGTACTAATCGCAGAAACTTGGGAAGATCTTCAAATACTAATTAACAAAATAGTAGAATGCAGTGAAGAACACGGATTATCACTTAACATAAGCAAAACAAAAATAATGCTAATATCTAAATCACCACAAAACTTCCCTGACATAACCGTGCATGATCAAAGAATCGAACGTTTAATAAGATATAATTACCTGGGAACTGTTATCAACGAAAATAATGATTGCTCTGAAGAAATCAGAACCAGAATAGAGAAAGCTAGAGCCACATTTACTAAATTGAAAAAGGTGTTCTGCGGAAGAGATCTAAGTCTAAAACTTAAAATTCGCCTTTTGAGATGTTACGTTATGTCAGTTCTCCTCTACGGGATGGAAACATGGACATTGAAAAAGATCGATACCAAAAAGATAGAAGCATTTGAGTTGTGGATGTATCGTAGAATATTAAGAATACCCTGGACAGAGAAAGTAACAAATGTGGAGGTTTTGCGGAGAGTGCGGAAAGAGAAAGAGCTGATACTTACTGTTAAAAAGCGCAAACTACAATATTTGGGACATGTTATGAGGGGAGATAAATACCAGTTGCTGCAATTGATTATACAGGGAAAGATAATGGGAAAGAGATCTATAGGAAGAAGAAGGCATTCATGGTTGAAAAACTTGAGAGAATGGTACAATTGCACCAATTACCAACTGTTTAGATCTGCAGCATCAAAAATACGCATAGCTTTGATGATAGCCAAATTTCGGAACGAAGACGGCACTTGAAGAAGAAGAATGTTGCCAGATTTGCCGTTTCTCTGATATTATTAGTAACTTTGGTTTTTCAAATGCATCACCCTGTATATTCAGTCATTATTAGAATCTTCTATTCAATGCGAGTTCAAACTCTATGTAACACTTATGACTGTATGTAGTCTGGAATGTCTTAAATACATAAAACAGTGCAAGATATGTAGATTTTAATAAATTAAAATATTTAAATGTAGAATGCTGTGATATGGACATTTGTTTACGATTTACATTATAAACTAAAACTGACAGTAGTTGTGTTTCGAAAAGTTCTGCAATTTAAATTGCTTCTCTAAAATGCCGTTCTCTAAACCGTTCTCCTATTCATAAGGCGACGGTACAAAAAACTGTAAAGCGATTTGAGAAATCTGAAGAAGGTAAAAGTCAGATGGAAAGAAAAAGTTTTGTTGAAGATCCACATACATCCTCAGGCAGGGTTGCGCAAGTACATGATGTCGGTCGTTCTTCAGTTTTACGTATATTACGTAAAAATAAGTTTAAACCATACAAAATAAACTTATTGCAAGAATTAAGTGAAAATGACTTCGATCTTAGA